ACTATCATTTGATGTGAATAACATATTTGTCACGCACCATCGTGTTTTGAAGAAAAATCGTATACATTTAAAATAACCATGGAAAATAGTTGTAAATAAAGGCAAAAAAAAAAAAAAAAAAAAAAAAAAAAATTTGACGTCTCTGGAAAAGCATGATTTCAAACTTAATTTTCCCGTTTTGACCTTACGATAAAAATTTGACGTCTCCGGAAAAGCATGATTTCAAACTTAATTTTCCCGTTTTGACCTTACGATAAAGGTATTAATTTTCCAGTTCGGTTTAGCCTAAACTCATGAGTATCAACGACTTGCTTCGTACCTAACAGCACACAAGACCTCAACAGGTCGTTCGGTGTATTGTCAGCGTACTCCGACTACCCCACCATTAAGGTGGTCACGTGACGCCAAGTTTCAGTCTCGTGATCGAGTCACATTGATAACTTGCTCACGATTTCATCACAGACCGTGCGTCTCCATCCGAGACCACAACACGCTACCACATACATAAAGCACGATACCATCAAGCTCACACTCACATGATATCGACTCCACGAGTCGATCGCAACCCTTATGCACAAACATAAGACTTGACCCAAAGCAACACGATATTTCCAATTTGCCGACTCGAGAAACCCTCAAGTAAAGCACAGGGACTCATCGACTACACTCCTTAATCAGAAATCAATGATTAAGGATTTACACACATTTTAGTGGAACTTGGAGCTCTCGGTTCAAGGTTCGGGGTTAGTGTACTGTCACCCAAGAGGCGGCACGCTCGCTGGCGCTGCATAAGCGGGGCGCTAGGACGCGTATGTACCCACCTACTCGGAGACCAGCTAGGTCGAGGTTCGGCCACATCCGCTGACTCGGGGAGTTTGTGCGTACGGTGATGACGGCTGCAGCTCTCGTGCAAGTCAACGGTCGGCCCCATGGTTGGCCTTGCGTCTCTCAGCACGGGCGTGCGTGCTCAGCCACCACTTCGCATGGCTACACCCAGTCAGGGCCGGCTTTCGATCCAAGGTTTCACAAGAGATTTACAGTCCAAGACAATCCAAAAAGGGGTGGTTTTACCAAATTTCAAAAATTTTGGGATCAACAAAACAATTTATGTATCAGGCATTTCACAAATTTCAAAGGTTCCAAAAAGTCTCTAAAATAGCAAGGTGCAAGTTTGAGTTTCCAAGTCCACCAACTTCTAAAACAACAGATTTTTATGATGAACAAAAATTTAGAATAATGACGGTACTGCACTATACGATGTGCTTGCTCCAGACTCGTCTATCCTCCTTAAGAGGTTTCTGCATAATCCTTTAAGGTGGAAAAACACTCCATCTCGATAACAGTAGGAGATAACACAAAAGCACTTATAGGCGGCGAGCTCGGCTCGTCAAGCACCTTCATTAAGTCCAGATGATATAATCAACATCTACTTTGACTTAATCGGGATTCACAATTATACTCAGCCGAACTTAATTCGACTAAGTTGTTCGTGAAGTCCTGTAGACGTTGGAACACTTAGACTCGACACCAAAACTCAACCAAATACACATGGGAGTTCACATAATCCAAAACAAACATTGACCAAGTCAACCCCTTAAAGAAACAGAAAACGAGTCAATTCGTTGTTTTTAATTGCAAAAGCCATATATTTAAAAATACTAGATTTAAATCACAAAAAATGAGTTGATCAGGTTATCATACGAATTTAACTCTGAAATTTTAACCAAAATTTCACCTCCCAAGTTAAGCAAAACCACCAATTTTCAGCCCCAAACTCAAAGCATGCTATTTTATAAAATTCGAGTAAGTTTATGGAAAAAAAAAACGAGCATATAACAGGAACCGGATCAAATGAATGAATTTAGTCATGAAAATTTAACACAAGCAGTAACAACATTAGAACAGCAATATATAAACTTTTCAACAATTAACATCAAGTATCTGAATTTTAGAAAATTAAAACTAGTTCCTGCTGATTTCGAATTTTCAATAACACCGAACCAAAATGAGTCCAAATAAATTCCATCTTTTTGTATGCTGAAACTCATCACATAATGGACCTGTCCATAATTTGTCAGCAATTTAGCACAATAGATCAATTTATTAAAATTAAATTACGAATCTGCAGAACTCATCAAATAATTTTTAAATATAGTAAATGATGTCCGAAAATTCTAAAAATGTTACAACATATATAAAACATACAGGAAGACAACATACTCAAATTTCATAATGTTTGGAGTACAACTCAATTTAATAGGCATTTAACAAGATTCTGCTCAGAATTTTATACAATTATTAAAAATAGCTATACTTATCATTTTAATCCAAAATTTTTACACAACATGCATCTCCAACAGAGGGACGAGCATACAAAATTTCACAGCAATATGAGCATCATACAATTTATCATAATTTATATACTAAAACAGCGACTAGACAATTTCATTAATTCATAACCAACTCATTTTACTACGAATCCGTCCGAAGTCTTCGCTATAAGACTAAGGACAATACGAGTTCCAACCCACAGCGACTCTATCACGATTCGACGAGGTCTCTTTTGATTTCTCAAAATCGAAGAGATCGTCTACATATATACCACATATATTTAAACCGATTTCAAACTCATGAATACAAAATTAATATAGGTATATTCACATCTGATGGTTTTAATAATCATGGTTACAGACCTCCGAATATCCCACACTTGAGACTTCTTCGGTTGTCTGCTCCCTTCGTTTAAGCCTTCTCCTTTCGAGATAGCTCGCGAATGGTCCTCTTCCGAAAATACCAAAATACATCGAGAGGACTGTTATACACAGAACTCAGATCGATAACACCATATCAAATTTCTAAACAAACAAAAACTCAAGTTAGAATTTAACTCTATATTGCTAGAGTTCAAATTCATACATCTAAGGTTCGCCACTCATCTAGAGTTCTAGAACGTTTAAAAGTAGGAGGATAAATTCCTAAGCCTCGGTTTCATTTCGGTAATCAATAACCAATCAATGCTCAATAATCTTAAATCATTCAGGTACTCGTACCTGAGCTGGCGCGGCACGAGGAGAGCGAGTGGTCAAATATGAGGTAAAAGTATGTAATCACATAATTCACATTAACCAGTCTACAGAAACGCAGATTGGCTCTGATACCAAACTGTAACGCCCCATTTTTATTTGCCGAAAATCAGAATAAATTTTTCAAATTTATTTCAAAACACCTGAGTGCTACTCATTTTCAAGAAGAACTTCCATATTTAACCAAATTTTCAATAATCAATCCATCTCAATACTCAATCCTCAATCATCATTTCAGTTATCAATAATTCAGTCATCAATAATCAATAGTGCAATCCAATACCCAAACCGGGTTTCTGAAATTTGTAACATCTAGGAAGTACACTCCCTATCAATAATCCAATATTCAATATCCCAAAATGCAATAATATCTAGAGTAAGTTCAATAGGCGGAAGCAATAATCAAATAATTAGACCACCACTCGCGTCCCTCCGCCGTGCCCGCAACACTAACCTGCATCCATGAAGAGCAGGTGGGGATGAGCACAAGAGGAAACAATAGTGCCCACCACTATGCAGTAAACGTTATTCACAATAATGAAACAGTAATCATTAATCAATAGAGTATGGTCGCAGCATGTACACGAATCAATTAACTATCCCAATCTCCCATCAATAATATCAATAATAGACTCGTGTCCACACCTATACCAATAGACTACTGCCGGTAGATGTATCGAAGGTCCTCGCTCGGGTCATGCTTCGAATGCCCCATGGGCTCTACATCTATGCCCTCCGGTCTTACACACCGAATCGCCCCACGGGCTTCCATCGATGCCCGGTCAGTAGGAGTAACCAGCCGGCCAAGGCCCCACCTTGGTCTTACCAATGGGGTTGTCCAGCACAGGGACCTTTAACCCTAGTCTTACGGCTCACAAAGGAGACTACCCAACGGGTACGTTCTATAGCTACGGGGATAACCGTTCGACGGCCGGTACAGCTCACATCGAAGGCTACATGGTTCCACATGCATACTTTGATCATACCATAATTAAAACAGTAATAACATTTAAGGCATAGCAATTTCTCGAATTAAACCCACCTGGATGGCAAGAGGTATAGCCAAACACAGAGTTGAAGGAATTATGGCACAAGTTCAGCTTGAAGAACCTACAAAAATTTATAAGGACCTATCACTGACTGCCCAATACAAAACAACACATAAGGCACATATACTTAGCCGAAATCATATCGACCAAGTGACTCGTGGATTCCTTAACCGAGTTAAGACACTATGGAGTTATTACCAGACTTGGACATGACTCAACTTCATCAAATAATACACATAAGTCATGCCAACATCAACAAAATCCAATCCTAACCTAAACAACCGTTAACCGAACATTTAGACTCCAAAACGAACTAAATTCAGAATCAGGAGTTAGGCTCAGCCAATCAACCTGAAACTTTACCACATTACCACATTATTAAACATGCAAAAACACATAAACTCACCAAGTTTCAGCACTAAATTCATCCGGGAACATTTTTAAAATGATTTAAGCAAAAACAGCACCAAAATCAGCATTTGATAGTTCACATAGCTACACTTCGAATTTTAATCTGAAATTTTTACACAACCTAAAACATCACAAAATAACAGGTTCCTGAAAGTTTCAGCTCAAAACTTCAAGTGTACGATTTTTAGTGCATTTTACAAGTTTCTGACCAGAACCCGTTTTAAGCATTTGAATACTAAAAGCTCAAAGATAAAATCAGGGGCTTGGCACGCATATTCTACATACTCGGAGGCACAACATATTAAAAATTCAGCTCAAATGAATAAGAAATCAATTTTTGGTGAATTTATTATTGTTCAGCAGTATGCTCGGTTTAGAAAAATTATAACTCTCAAAATACAACTCGAAACGACCTCAAACCAAAACTAACAGATCAAGGACAACTCCAAGTACCTATAACTCCAGGATTTCCACGAAGCGAACCACATATATTCAGTTCGACAATAATTCAAAGTGAAGGCAATCACTTTGATATCAAATTTGAAATTATACTTCAACATCCTCACAAATATTTATCTAACAATAATCCATCAACATATATTAACACATATGGTTCAAATAATACATCAAACAAACACGTTCAGCAACTCACATAATCGAACACACAAAATATCACATAAAATTTAACGAGACGGGTCAAGCCTTGTACCGTTCTCGGGATTAAACGTGATTAAACGTGATTAAACGTTCGAACGAAATGAAGGTGAACGAACGTACGCGAAGACGGCTCGAGGCTCGACGACAATGCTCGCTGCTGGGATGCTCCCGGCCCGCTGATCGTGATCGAAGGTCGGTTCACGGCGGAGGGCGCTCGCTTGGAAATCGCAGCGGTGGTCGAAACTTGTCGGGGTCGCGATGGCGCGAGTTGCTGCTGTTGGATCGTTGGAGATTGCTGGGGCGGAGCTTCACGGCGAGAGGGCTGGTTCTCGACGGAAGGAGGTCGCCGGAGTTCGCTGCTGGCCCGCGGTGGCGTGAGGGCTGCAAGTCGCCGGCGGCTCACGGCGGAAGAGAGCAGCGATGGTCGGCAGCGATTGGTGCTCGACAAGAGGAAGGTCGCCGGAAGGGAGGCTGCTACACGGCGTTGATGAGAGGGGATGCGAGGGCGCGAGTTGCTGCTCGCCGGATTGCAGTCGCGACAGGAGAGATCGCCGGAATTTATTCGCGGTTGCTGCGAGATGATGACGACAAGGAGGATGGTGACTGAGCGCGACGGTGAAAAATTGCAGAGGGGAGATGATGGCGAAGGAGATGGCGAGGTGGGATGCTTATGCTGCGACGATGAGAGGGAGCAGATTTGATGAACGGGATTTATCCCTTCTTTAACGAGGAAGAACGCGAACAGAGAGAGAACAAAATAAAAGCTGCGGGATTAGAGAGAAGGGAGCGTACAATATTAAGGAGTGAGAGGAGTGAGATTAGGGTTAATTAATCCTTTCTTAACCCTCAAGACATACACTCACACATGGGGCAAACCGGGTCGGGCTGGATACGGTTCGGTTCGACGGGTTCAATGAAAAGATTCGGCTCTCGGGCCCGACTAATCGTAGCGATAATACGGTTTTTACTCGGGCTCCATTGATTAAATCGGATCGGCTCAAAAATTAAATCGCACAATAAATACATAACCAGATATAATATATTTCTATAATACACACAAATTAAATTTTAAACTAATAATAATATTAGTAAAAATACAAATACACATTTTTAATTAATGACTAACAGTTAGACAAATAGGCAATTAATTAATATTAAAACAATTAATCAATTTGACATATAAATCACATTCGACAATTAATAATTTATAGCATTCAATAAATAATAATAATAACACATAAATATAACAAAAAAATAATAATAATAAATAATCCTCAAAAATTCCATATTTCAACGGGCATTACAATATAAGGTCATTTGTGCCTTCAAATCTTAATGAAAAATTTCCAGAAAACGCATTGGCACTGCAATCTGAACGAATCCATGTACAGAACAAGCAATAATCTGATTTCTAGAAAGTGTGCAGCTATTGCTTGTTCCGAATTCCAATGAACAAAATATAAAATCACATAATCAAAGAAAGATATACCTAGATGCTCAAAATAGTGTCTTCTAAAAATCAAACAAAAAGGTTTATGAACGTGATGCTTGGATGCATATGTTAAAGTTTCCTAAAAATCAAACAAAGAGATTTATGAATGTGATGCTTCATGCTTGGATGCAGATGTTAAAGTGTAAAAATGTAAATGTTTTACAGCTGCAGATATGGCAAAATTTTGAAATAAATGTATAGTATACTTGTGTCGCGTTCTTGTATACTGAGGACAAAATCAAGAGATTCGTTAAACATGTCGCCTTCCCATTCGGACATTTTCGTTTAACGACACGTTCTAAATGTGTTAGAACGATCAAATGCGTTACAACGATGAGCGCACGTTTTCCATAAGATGATGATCCATTTGGACATTTTCGTTTAAAGATGTTAGAACGATGAAATGCGTTAGAAGATCACGATATCAATCGAATAGCGATATTAGAAATAGGAGATGTGCCCTGCAAAAGAAGATTCATACAGTGTATAGTTGTTGGTGGTTGTTATTCTCCTTTATTACCCTGAACCAATAACTATGCAAGATGTTCACAGAAAATGCAAATACTTCCATGGAACATAGTACCGATCCTCGACAACTTTTCGTGTGTTAGGAGCTTTTTGTCCGGATGTCAAAGGTCAGTCCCAACAAAGCGTGGAGAGTTATGGCATATGACCCAGCACTTTCCAAAAGCTCTAGTCAGCAGGAGCTGAAGAAACTCGCATCTGTTATACTGTTTGTCTGTTTTCTCATGGCACTTACCTTTCGTACGGTTATCAATCAGCCGGATTCATGTAAGTCCACCCTTCTCCCCTTAAATCATGACGATCTTCTTGTATATAGTTTAGCTTACAGTAGCCTTCACACAAATGTTCACAAACCAAACAAATCTGATTCACTCCTTCTTAACGAGCAGCTCCCGACTTGTTCAGACTCAATTCACTGACAGCTCCCGAACCTGATTCCGAACCTCCCTCGATCCAAAACCTAAGCAGCTGGAAATCGGACGTGCTCGAAATCACTGGCGACATACGTATCCACGGCCTCTCGTCCACCGTCTTCGTAGCCTCGACCTCACCACGGCCCATGGCCTCCTCCATATACCCTTACGCCCGCAAAGGCGACAAGTACATCATGGACAAATTCGTCACCCGCTGGCAAATCTCCCTCCAACCGCCGTCAAAATTACCGAAATGCCACCGCCGGCTCCCGTCCCCGGCCGTCCTCTTCTCCGGCGGCGGCTACAGCGGCAACCACTTCCACGACTTCACCGACATTCTCATCCCTCTCTACCTAACCGCGAAACAATTCAACCGAGACGTGCACCTCCTCGTAGCCGACCCGCGGCCCGAATGGCTCGAAAAATACAAGCTCGTGCTCGAAAATCTCTCCCGCCATGTCAGCGTCGACGTGACCGGCGAGAAGAGCGTGCTCTGCTTCGGGTGGACGGTATTGGGCCTCCGGGCCCACAAGGAGTTCGGCATCGACCCTAAGCAGGCCCCGCACTACACGATGGCGGGCTTCCGGGAGTTCATGCGGGCCACGTTCTCGCTGCCGCGGGCCGTGGGCCCGGGCCCACGGCCCCGGATGCTGATCATCTCGAGGGCGGCGAATCGGTTCTTGACGAACGAGGATGAGGTGGCGAGTAGGGCCCGCGGGCTGGGGTTCGAGGTTGACGTGGACGAGACGGGGTGGAACGTGACGGAGACTTCGAGGAGGGTCAACTCGTATGACGTGCTTGTAGGGGTTCATGGGGCGGGGCTGGCGAACATGGTTTTTTTGCCGGAAGGTGGGGTTGTGGTGCAGATCATACCGTTTGGGGCGGACTTGTGGGCCAAGCCGTATTTTGGGAGGCCCACGAGGGAGATGGGGTTGAAGTACTTGGAGTACGAGGTGGGGCTGAACGAGAGTTCGTTGTTAGGGAAGTACGCGGAGGACAGCGAGGTGTATAGGGATCCGGGGGCGGTATATGAGAAGGGGTTCTTCCATTTCCATGCGGTGTATTTGAAGGATCAGAATGTGAGTATTGATTTGGGTAGGTTTAAGGAGGTGCTGATTAGAGCGTATGAGCTTTGTGTGTAGTTGACATGGAGTAAGATGTTAAGAGTTGAGACACAGAGAGGACAGCAGGGAAAAGGAAAAAAAAACAAGAAAAACAGATAAACAGAAAGATTAAGGAAAAATTGCATTTTATACCCTGTAATTAGGGGTGTGTGACAAATGTGGACAACTTCTTTTTAGTTTGGCAAAAGTGCCCCGAAACTTGTTAAAACTGTCCAATTTGGGCAAAAATTTCGAATTTTAACAAGTTACTGTCCTATTTTGCCACACGAAAAACCGGTCAAATCCGGTAACTTGTAGGTAAATTGAGCACGAATTCCGGGTTTTAACAAGTTTCATGGCACTTTTGCCAAACCAAAAAGAAGCTGTCCACAATTGCCACACACGCATAGTTACAGGGCACAAAATGCAATTTTGCCGAAAGATTAATATCAACAAATTGGTTAAATTCATTGATTGCTTCATGATTTTGAGAGTTGTGTTAAATTATTTTTTGTCATGCTTTGTGCTCAGCCCTAGTGAATTTCATATTTTCAGGGGATATATGTGGTTTTTACTCCCCTTTTCTCTTGGGGTAAAGTTTAAACTTTAAACACCTAGAAAAAGATTCAGTTTTGGGTTGAAAATTCAAAATGTTCATTAAATTGTGGAGATGGAATGTAACAAAACACTATTGCATAACCACAAAGCAGAAGAAGAACAAAAACACCAGTTCATATAACTAGCTACCAATACACATAACTAGTAGTTAGTCACGTCACCACCCTTACATATTCAAACCTAATCCAAGTTAAAACAATAACATCTGCTCCAAGCAGTAACCCACAAAATACACAAAAACATGAAAACATAAGAGTTAAAAACCAATAACTAGCAAAAGCAGCCAACTAAAACAACTTTTATTTTTTTCTGCCCTAATATCAAATCAAGGATGTCCTTTATGCCTCTTGTAGCCATAACGATTGTTCCTGAGAGCACAGCATCCAATCGAGTAAATCACGACAACAGCCGCAAGGATGCACCCGTTGATGATGGCCAAAACCTTCCATTCCCTCTTTATATTGTAGAGAACCGCCGTTTTGCACGACTCGCACTCGAAGCAAAGCTCGTTTGGAACATCGCTCCACACCTTGCAATCCGGGTCGCCCGTTTTAGCTGACTCCGACCCGCAGTCATTTGGCGGCTTGCAGCAACCAGACTGTTGAAAAACACAAGTCATAAATAATTTCATGAACACAATTCTCACAAAAACAACAAAAAACAAAAAAAAATCACCATAATCGGAGACAACTCGTGCTCGTAAAACTCCGTTCTCTCGCACAATTTAACGCCGACCAAACAGCTCCTAATCTCGGCCCAATTCTTGTCGTTCACGACGTATCTTTTGAGCCAGCCCGAGTAGTCGCCGAGTCGATGGTCTCCGAAACCTTTTCCCGAAATTGCCCTTCCCACGCCTTGATTGGTGACCACAATTGCGAAGGCTGTGAAGGCCACGAGGCTGAGTATGAGGGCAAAAAGGACAAATAGATAGAGCCAAAGGAGAAACGAGATGCCGCACCACGCGCCGACGAGCCCAGCCACAGACACGGTGAGGAGAGCACCGCCAACCGCCAGCAGAGGAATTTTGAGGACACGCTGGCAATCAGTGTCAGATCTGACGTGGAACCAAAGGGCGAAGCCGATGGCGGTGAAGGCGACTAGGATCGTGATCACGTTGAGGCAGACGATCATCCCATTGCTGATTCGGCTCATTTTTTATATTTTTTATTTTTTTGGTTTTTGCAGTTTGTGTCTTTTGGGAGGGAGGGGATTCTTCGGAAAAGACAGAAAAATGCAGAAACTCTTGTGTGTTTTTTTGGGGATTTGAAGATGGTGTGTTTTTTCTGGTTTTGCCTGTTTTTAATTTGGGTAAAGAGTGATTGATGGCATGGGATATGGGTTAAGGGAATATGGGATGGAGCGGTTGTTTGTGGGTTAGTTGTGACGGATTTGCCCTTAGAGATTATCGTGTGGGAGTTTGAAAATGGATTTGTGTTAGGGAAGAGTGGATTGGGAAGGTGGTGGTTGATTGAAGTTGTAGGGGGGGAAAACGGTTATTTGGGGCCAACTCTGGAATCAATTTGAATTTAAGTTTGGTCAATGATAATGAGCTAAGTTTGGATATAAAATTAGCATACCATATATACATTAATATGCCTCAATTGATGTGGCAGGATACTAAATTAGGTAGGCCAATATTTTCTATAAAATCACCACTATTTTTGTCTTTATAGCCACAACTTTTCAGCTTTTTTTGTTAAATTCACTATTTTTGTAGAAAAAGAAAAATTGCAAATCGAATCATCAGTTCAATTGGCGATGTCTTTACGACTCAGCGAGATGGAGGACAGGGCTGAAGTGAACTGATGCTTCGATTTGATTCGTGTGCTTAAGTGAAAAACTCAAAAGGTTGTGATCAAATTGCACGACCCAAACAAGTCTGCTTTAATATGCAATTTTATTTACCTGTTACTTCTTTTGATCTTTTGACATTTACATGAATAGATAATCCAACACAATGGGCACTTAAATTCAAAACAACCACAGTAAAGTTACCAACATTATTTGACAAAAGGTAAACTCAAAAGTACAGATAAGTAGATAACACATAGTATGATAGTAGATCAAGACAGCATCTTCATGCACAACTAGGTAGGTTCATATGAATTATGAACATTACTGAATTTAGAAACAATGAAAGGCAAAGAACGCTAGAGATAAAAGTATTCGATCGACACAGCATCTTCAGACACAGATAGGCCCATATGAACATTACTTCAAAATTTAAACACTATGGAAGCAAAAGAACGCTTGAGACGAGAGTTTTCGACTTACTTCCCTCATCCCAGATTTTCTCTCTCTAGCTACAGACGATCACAGTCCTTCGTCGTCTTCATCCAGAGTAAGCCAACACAGGCTTTCCGCATAAGTTGTAGCATCAATCTCCTTGGAGGTGTCAAAGTGATGGGGTCCCATGTTGCCTGAATCATACCACTTCAAACTTGACCCGTTTATCAACATCATCCTAGCATCCTCGGACAAACACAGGCCTCGGCCATATAAATCCACGCCAAAAATGGTCAAAGGCAAAAGGCGCCTCAACTACTTTAGTCCAAGATTCCCCCACACCGTATTCCTTCATCACCCACACAACAATGGCCGCACTATTTAAACAACAAATGGCGAGGCAACCACCAAAAACCTCAACCTCTTCTGAAAAAACAACAGAAATTTTACCAAGATCTTCAGGCATAGGCAGCCGAGTGAATGTCTGGGTCGAGAGGTTGAGGGAGACAATATCCCGTCTACCCTCTGACACTTTAACCCGCCAGTGGATGGACCCGTTCAGGAACTTGCCCGCGTGGGAGCCCGTGCCCCCGCCAGGCCAGCTCAGGGGCTTCCACGAGTTGGCCCTCGAGCTATAAATCATGGCATGGGTGTCGTACTCGTAGGGCCGAATCGTGAAACTTATAACGTCGATCACCTTGCAATCGTCGTGGACCTCATCATACCCAAAGGAATACGAATTGTCGAAGTACAACTCGTGAGTACGCAGGATTTTCAATTTTCTCGTGGCTGGAGTCATTATATAGATGTTGCAATCTGTGTGAATGGACAACAAAAAGCAAACAAGGCCGTTACAAGATCCGATGATCCTAAACACAATAACAGGAAGAGGACAGTTTAAGGGGACGGCGTCGAAGGGGATCGGATCTCGATTATCGTTGACGGAATAAAGGCAGCCGGTGAGTGGGTCGGCCAGGACGGAGCCATAGATGGCGGAGTTGATGGGGCAAGTGTAAAGGCTGCGGTCGTTGTCAGTTATGAGGCCGAAGATGAGGTTTTCGCGGGCTGAAACGCGGGTATTTTGAGCCGTCGAGGTTTTAAGGTGGGTTTTGGCGAATTTAGGGCTTGAGATGAGGAGAAGCCAAGGTTTGCAGACACACTTGAACTTGAGGAGGGATTTGACCGGCAGCCGGAGGAGGATCTCGGTGATGATTTCTTCCGGGAGAATTGCACGGGTGGTCTCCGGGTTGTCATTCTCCATGGCTGCGCCTCTTCAGTTTTTGCCGGCGGAGGGTTTATCAGGGCTTTATACAAACTAGTGTTGAATAATGCACGGAGTATAATACCATAAACTAGTACAAATCCCGTGCAATGCACGGGTAAGAAATACATATTAATATTTATATTAAACGATGGGATATACGTTAATAACATAACACGTAAAGAACTAAAGTAAAACACAACCACACGTATGTCTATATATTTGAAAATAAAATTAAAAACATAACCATTTGCTTTTGAAAATCTATATTGTCAACATCTTGCTTCGTAGCAAAATTACAGAAGTCAAAATTAAAACGTTGGAAAATCGGTAGAATACTCCAACACTTTGCAGTAATAAATTGTTATTAACCAATGTACTTTCTAGCATCCTCGAACTTGTCACTCATTAACTTCACGAATTAGTCCAGTTATGTGGCTACCCTGTAAAATCGCAATACAAAAATAATATTTTCGTCAAAAAATATTAAAATAATAAATATTGACAACTACTATTAAATCACATAATGAAGCATATTAACATCACTATCGTGGAAAACTATTTCCAAATAACTTCTGTAAGAGACATCAAATATCATCTTAAAGATGCTGTTGGAAGTTTCAAGATGACCTTCGTATTTCATTTTAAAAAGTTGATTAGACCAAGGGTTCATCATATTTCACTTGTCCACAGATTTCTTTCCTCACATCTTCATTAATTCATTTTAATATACATAAACCACAAATCGTGAAAAAGCATAAGAAAACATATAGAAATCAGTCAAAGTAATCAAATAGGAGAACTGCAGAATAAGAATGTACCTGAAAGTCCCCACAGCAAATGAGAAGATCAATCTTGATTTTTTCAACTTCTTGCAGGTGTAATAGAGTAGCAAATACATTATCCAAATCTCCATGCATGCACCCTTCTACAGCTCTTTTCATCTAAAATTATATATTTTCAATTAGAAGCAAAATAAACAGTGCCTTTAAACTAATGACAACAATTTAGTAGTGGCATTTACACAAGCTTCCAAACATGGGATATCCAAAATTTTATGCATATCAATAACTAAAATATGCTAAAACTCCAATTCGTAACTCCATCAGAACAACTTTACAGAGCATTAAAACTAAATAAGGATCGAATTCACATGGATGCAGTCAATGTCATGTCGGGCACGCCCCACACACAGTGCAAACTCACTTTTGAGTCAAGTTTATCATAAAGCCTACTATCAAGCCTCGCCCAAGTTAAGTTCTAGATAACCTATGCTCATCTTAATCACGACAATAGCCAGTTTAGCTCGAAAATATTTTATTAGAAAACATTTTTTTTTTCTGTTCTCAACAAATTACAGCTTTATGAAAGTGATATTTTTGTGAAAGTGATTAGTGAATAAATAACACACACGGTGATCATCCTAGCAGGCCGAATACCATCTGAAACTAAACGAAGCACCTCTCTTTTACTCCAAAGTCCAAACAATTACAGTTTTTAGCACATAAACCATATTAAAAAAAAAAATAGTGAGAGATACGGACAAAAGACCTCAGCAGGTTAGGGCTTCGTGAAACGCACCGATTAGGACTTGCTCGTCCATGTCGGGGAGGATGGCGGCGGGGAGCTCGTCGAACTCGACAGCGTCTTTGTCGTTGGCATCCATGTTGGCGAGGAGGCGTGGATCTGTCGGGGAGGATGGCGGCGGCGAGCTCGAGCTGGGTGAGGCTACCGTCGTGGTCCATGTCGAACAGCTTGAAGTTGTAGTGCTGCCAGATCTTTTTGATTGAAGCTTTGCCATCGCGATTTTAGCCGGGAATCGGCGTAGAAAAATCCATCTGCACTATCGGCGAAACATAGAAAGTCCATTTCTAGTAAAAAAAAACTCGCAAAAAATTCTTCGGGTAAATGGAGTGAACCCGCCTTCACTTTCAGCCGTCTCCTGCTCAACGCATCGAACGATTCCAATGCAAATTCCTTCTAATCTCTCATTCCTGTAACAGAAAATTACAGTTGTAACTAAAAATCAAGCACTCATTTGAGCTCAACAAACCGCAATTAACAACACAATTAGCCATCAATTAACAACCTATGCATTGTGTTGGGTGGTCGTCTGGCTCGACTCGCCGGGCCCGGGCTGGCCCCGAACAGTCCCGAACAGCCGCTGGTTTGTCCCGGCAGCTCCCAGCAGGCCCGGACAGCTTCGTGTTGGCCCCGAACAGCAACCTTTCGAGCCCGAACAAGTCCCGGTTTGACCGCTTCTAGCCGAAAACGAAAATTACCAATAAATATACTAATTTCAACAATCAAACAATATAAATGAATTGAAATTGCTGAAAATGAATAAAGCATAGAGAGGAACGAATACACCCTTTTCTCGTTCTCGTACGTGAAGCCCAAATGCTACAAAGATGCCGAGATGATGGGTTGAAATGGAGCACAGGCTCAGTTCCCTTTCGTCAAACCCTCAAAATGAGTCACAAAAGAGCCGACAATTGAACCGATCAATTGGACCCGTGACCTCAATGACTCCGGCACTGTCCACTGACCGTCCACCAAGCTTGGCCCGAGAAACAGCCCGCACACAAAAAACCCCAAAATCCGTCTCGCTAAAGGACCTGGCTCACACACGAAAGAGACTCTCACCAAAATCACAACCCCCTTATCACATGATAGAAAATGGTATGTTTAATTTCGAGATGTGGAATTCTCGGGTGTTATTGATAAATTTTAAGAGGATAGTTGAGGATGGCTGACCCATTCTGATGTTGGGAGGTAATTTGGGATTGGAGAAAGAGAAGAAGGAGAGTGACGGGAAAGAAGAAAATCGGGCATAAGAAGAAAAGAGGGAAAAAGGGAGAGAGAAAAAAAAATGATTTGGGGATAAAAAGAGAGAGATTATCTTCCCTTTTTTTTTCTCCTTTTCCTGCGGATCTTTCTTTCAAATTTTAGATTAAAAAAATCATATTTGTATAAATAGATAAGTTCAAATAGGTTTGAAATCAATAAATAAAATCTTTAAAAAATTCAAATTGATGACTGGCGGGCATATTCAATTTTTTCGTCAAAAACTCTGCTCATTATAATAAACTTTAGGCAGGAATTGAAATCTTTTTTTTGCTGATTTTCTATATGATTTTTTCAAACAACTATCATTCCCTCTTTATATATTAATAGATATTTTGCTATTTAAATATTACTAAACTACTAAGGCTATGTTTGGTAGACAAATAAGCTAGCTTATAGCTTATTTGGTTAGCTTATAAGCTCTCTGTTTTCAAATAAGTTTCGTTTGGTAGGACGAAATTTTTTAAAAAACTGGAGTTTATTTGATAAACTTTTTTGGTTAGCTTTTCAAATAAGCTCGTTGCAATTTTTATTTCAGCTGGCTTATCAGCTAATTTTGCTAATTTTATCCAAACACTTTTATCATATAAGCTAGTTTTTCAGCTATAAGTCATAAGCTATAAGCTATAAGATCAAAAATACTGATAAGCTATAATCTAGCTTATCAGCTATCAGCTAATTTTACTAAATATAGCCTAATTATAGACAATATGAATTCTATTCCACAAAAATTTAATTTAGTAATATTATATTTAGAATAATTTATTTTTTTCTGTTATCAATTTTTTTTTCAAGTCTTGACTATTTGATATATAAAATTTATTTACATACAAATTATATTTGCGTACAAATTATTTAGATGTACTTATAAAATTGTAGATTATCTTCTTATAACTTTCTTAAAAATTCATAATTTTTACATTGTTTGATATTTGACCAACATTTAATTCATAATATTTATCTTTCTTATTATAATTCTAAGTGCATGAAATGCTAAAATGTTTGATAATTAAAAAAAAATTTCATCGTTAAATATTTTATTTTTTTAATTTATATCTATTCTTTTAATTTATTTTTGTAATCTATATAATTAGTTAATTAGTATCCATTCGAATATTTAGATATATTATATATTTCCATGAATATTAAGTGCTATAATTTAAATTATGATACTTGACTATTTTATTTATTATATATTATATAATAAAAATTATTGTTTCATCGAATAGCTTTTTAATGTATATAAATATTTTTAATATAGACGATAAAAAATCCCCGCCCAAAACCATACCAATTATAGAAATATGAATTGGTCCATTATATAGATATAGATATACTTGTAGAATGTTTTTTTAACAGTGTTAAAGACTCCTGCCAATCGACCAGTGAAACCGGCCGCATGTGCCGGTTGGCCACACCGTGCACGGCCGCAATTGTTGGTAGGCCGCGCAATTTTTTTTTATTAAACAATTTTTTTATTATATAAATTATGTTAGAATTTAGATATTATTATGTTATATATTAGAATTTATTATCTTATAGTTATAATTTAGAAATTATTATATTAAAAATTATAATTGATTATCTTATAGAATTTTATTATTATTAGTATTATTATTATTATTAGAGCGTAGAAATTATTATGTTATATAGCATAATACTAATTATCTGTAACAAAGTACTAATTATCTGTAAAAAAAATAATATAATTTATAATTATTGTCGACTAAAAAAATATACATTAAATAATATAGGGATTTATAGTTATATTTTAAAATAATACTTTTTTCTAGAAATAAAAATTTATTTCTAATACTAATTAAATTTTGAATATCGTAAAAAATAATTTTACAAGATAATCAATTCTAAGTTCTAACATAGTAATAATAAATTCTATAAGAAGGTCAATTCTAATTTATAACATAATAATAATAATAAATTCTAATTTATAACATAATAATTTTTAAATTTTAACATAATTTCTATAATAAATAAAAATTAGATTTGTAAAAAAAATCAGGACGAACGGCGAATTTTTTTTTTTTTATTGTTTTGGAAAACTATCAGGGGCAAAACGGTCCAAGCTGGATGGTATGTAGTAAAAGATGGACGGTGTTTAGCAATTTACTTTTTAGTCAAGCCAATTTGAACAAAAAAAGGTAATATGATTAGTTGTAAGTGTTGGAAAATGTGGCATGGTTAGTTATAACTTGTAAGTGTGAGTTTGAGTATATTAAAATAATATTTAAAAAAAAAAATTAAAGTTTGACAAAAGCCCTTATGATAACTTCAAGCCCACATAGGATTGTGTAACAGTTTGTTTTATACATAGGATTGATTATATAAATACATAGTTGGCGAATTGTACTCTGAATTAAATTATACTCGTGTTTGTTATTAGACATGGCCATGGTTCGAGACGGTCCGGTCAAATTGTTAACTGCGGGCCTTGAATTGGCCCGTGGTTTTACTCGAGCCATTTAGGTTCGTGTTTTTTTTTTTAAAAAATTGAAATGCCGGTTCAATCTTGAACTAGAAACGAAATCAGAATCAACGGTCATTGAAATTCAAATTTAAATATAATTATATTTATATTTTATTTTTTGAACCGGCCTTGAAACGCCGGTTCATTGAACTGTTTTTTAGCCTTTCCTGGGCTGGTTTCGGTTCACCAAAATGATGAACTTGAACTGGCAGTTCCAAATCCAACCCAACAACGTTTATTTGTTATTCATGCTTGCAATTTGGATACCCTTCATTCAGATTTGTGTAGCCGGTCCTATCTTTTGGTGCATCCCGGACCAGGATCTGTTATTTTTGTATCTTCATTCAGATTTGTGTAGCCGGTCCTATCTTTTGGTGCATCCCAGACCAGGATCTGTTATTTTTGTATTTCTCGCTGCAGATGTCAGCTGCTCCTTGTATCTTTTTCTTGTTTCTGTATTTTTTTCTTATTTTTGTTTCTTGATGTATCCTGGGGTGTTGTTTGAAAAAAAAAAAAATGCTTGCAGTTTGGATAGGATAATATTTTAATAACAGTGATGTTTCTTTGTCCTGATAACTCATGAAATATGAATGCGTACTAGTGTGTACCCCGTGCGATGCACGGGAACAATATTAAATTAACAATATTGTAAATAAACCTCGAGTTTGAGTTACTCAATGACGGAAGTGGAAACTACTATTGATCCTATTTAAAAAGAGAAAGAAAAAAAATATATATATATTAAAGAGGAGGATAAACAATACTTAATAATTATAAATTAAAAATTTAGGGTCAAACAATGTAAAATTATTTTGTATAAGAGAATATAAAAAAATTTGATTATACACCATTTCAAAATTATTATTATACTTTTTTGTATGGTTAGCTTATAATATTTGTAAAAATATTAGTAACTAGACCGATGAAAATTAGCTTCTTAAAGAAGATAATGGATTTCTAGTAGTAATTATGAATTGATTTTTATTTATTCTATTTTTTCTTTTTTAAATATAATAATTTTTAGTAGTAATTATGAATTGGTTTGTATTTTATTTTATTTTTTCAAATCTGTATAGATAAGGGATGAGATTTTTTAAACATACGTGTGCAATAAAAATTTGTAACAGAAGAGATAAACTCGTGTATATTTATACTAAAAATAGTTTTGATAAACTAAAAACCAGGAAAAAGAGAAACAAATCTTTACACAATTAATGAGCCGATTTTTTTGCCTATTCAGATTTGTCCAACAATTACTATATGTAGGATATATTTAAAGATTTTGGCGGGAAAAAGGTTTCTAAATTTGTAAAATGGTTATTCTTTTTATATAATGATAGATTTGTCAATTTTGCTCCCAACATATAATTTTTTTTTATGTTATATTATTTTTCCTTTCTTTATCTCTCAATATTTGTTCATTTATTTTTTTTCCTTCCAATTTGATACCAGATTAATCGCCCCATCTCCATCCGATTGCACCCGATTCTGACACTCCACAAAATATGAAGCATAAATTATCAATTAACACCATTCAACCCCTTTTGTTGATAATCAAGAGAAAAGCCATTTGGGTGACAAAGATATTTCCCATTGTGTCCAATTAGGCCCGAGCCTTTGTGGTAATTACCCAGATATGGATCCTTAGTTCTGTGCATCAAGAAGTTTGTGTGATTTACTTACCCACAGCGCATGGAAAAAAAATTTATTAGTTTGTTACACTGAAGAAGACACAAAGCAAAACCTGACCAAACACAACTAATTCATGGGTCGAAGCTCAGAAAAACAATATCCTAGAACAGAACATGCTGAAGAGTGTGTGATACTTGACGATAATACAATACTGAATTATATGAGTTCAGATTATTACTTCGTTCGTATTCATCAATTCAATTAAGCCTTTTAAAAAATAATTATGGAGCTAAGCAACCATGTCTCATATTTTGTTATGCACACAGTACACTGGTCCGAGCAGATTGCAAAACACTGGGAAAGTCTGCTTAATATGCAATTTTATTTACCTGTTTACTTCTTTGGATCTTGACATTTAACAAAAGGTAAACTCAAAAGTTCAGATAACACATAGTAGATCAACACAATTCAGGCACAACTAAGTTCATATGAACATTACACTAAATTTAAAAACAATGAAAGGCAAAGGTTGCCTAGAGATGAAAGTATTCGATCAACACAGAATCTTCAGGCACAGATAGGTTTATATGAACACTACTCTAAAATTTAAATGCCACAGAACGCTTGAGACGAGAGATTTCGACTTACACTTACTTCCCTCATCCCAGATTTTCTCTCTCTAGCTACAAACGGCCAACACAGGCTTTCCACATAGGTTGTAGCTTCAATCGCCATGTCAAAGTGATGCAGGGGTCTCATATTGCCCAAATCATACAACTTCAAACTCTCCACGTAATTAATCAACATTTTCCTAGCATCCACGTAATCAATCAACATTGTCCTAGCATCCACGGACACAAACAAACTCGATCCGTAATTAATAAATCAACATTGTCCTAGCATCCACGGACACAAACAGGGGCCTCGGCACTAGGAATCCATGCTCCAAAGCATCAATGGCAAAAGACGCCTCAACCACTTTAGCCCAAGATTCCCCCACACCGTATTCCTTCATCACCCACACAACAATGCCCGTACGATTTACACAACAAATGGCGAGGCAACCACCAAAAACCCCAACCTCTACTTCAACATAACTATCACAATCACCAAAGTCGTCTTCAGAACCAAAATCCCCATCCTCTACTCCACCAAAACTATCACAATTACCAAAGTCTTCAGGTGGTATAGGCAGCCGAGTGAATGTCTCGGTGGAGAGGTTGAGGGAGACAATATCCCGTCTACCCGCAGACACTTCAACATACCAGTGGATGGACCCGTTCAGGAACTTACCCGCCAGGTTGCCGGTGTCCCCGCCAGGCCAGCTCAGGGGCTTCCACGAGTTGGCCCTCGAGCTATAAATCATGGCATGGCTCTCGTGCTCCTCGTCGGTCGGTATCGTGAAACTGTGAACCTCGATCACCTTGAAAACGTCATGGACCTCATCATACCCAAAGGAATACGAATTGGGGAAGTAGAATAAGTAATCACACGGCGAGCCGGACTCCGGCAGGATTTCCATTTTTCTCGTGGCTGGATTCATTATACAGATGCTGCACTTGGGTTGATTGCACGAGTCGGACAAAATAAAGCAAACAAGACCGTTACAAGATCCGATCATCGTCAAATAGATATCAGGGGCAATAGGAGGGCAGTCTAAGGCGGAGACGTCGACGGGGATCGGATCTCGATTATTGTCGACGGAGTAAAGGCAGCCGGTGAGTGAGTCGGCGGCGACGAAGCCATCGATGGCTGAGTTGATGGAGCAAGTGTAAAGGCTGCCGTCGTTGTCGGTTACGAGGCCGAAGATGAGGTTTTCGCGGGCTGAAACGCGGGAATTTTGAGCCGTCGAGGTTTTAAGGTGGGTTTTGGCGAATTTAGGGCTTGAGATGTGGAGAAGCCAAGGTTTGCAGACGCACTTGAACTTGAGGAGGGATTTGACCGGCAGCCGGAGGAGGATCTCGGTGATGATTTCTTCTGGGAGAATTGCGGCGGCAGTCGCTGGGTTGTCATTCTCCATGGCTGCGCCTCTTCAAAGTGGGTACAAAATCTACCAATCTATGTATATATAAGTAGTATGAGTACCAGGTAAGAGTTAATATTTATAAATTAAAAATTTTTATTAAGTAAAATTTATAAATTAAAAATATGGAATTCATATGTAATATATTACCTATACTAATTTATTGAAAATGTTATATAAAGTTTAAATTGTACAAAATTACATAAAAATGTCTATTTAAAATTAGTATATAATTCATGTGGTGCACATAAGTGATAATAAATTACATTATATTCTTTCAAAATAAGTATCATTTCAAAATTTTTATTCAGAAATTCGATTTGACTATAATGTGATTTCATAAAATAGTTATTTTGGTAAAATGTTATCATATATTTAACAACCTATGTAAATAATAAGTATAAATATAAAATTTATATTGTTTCATTACTTAAAATAATTTATTTTTGTATAAACTATTCAAATAAAAAAGATTAAGTAGTTGAGTAATTTATTAAACAATAAATAATTGACTATTTCGTTTACATCCAAGTTAATATTGGACCCTAAGCCGCAATATTTGACCAAAATGATTTTGTACATTAATTACATTAATTTAGGCGGGATTTTTCAATTTTTGGACAAAAATATTGCTCAATATAGTAAACACTTTAGGTGGAAAATCAAATGTTTTTTTTGCTGATTTTTAGTTGTTATTTCAAGTAAATATCATTGCCTCTTAATATCTATATATATAATTGCTAGCTAAGCAATAAATTTTACCTAATAAATAAAACCTAATAAATTTTACCTATGTGGCAAATCATTAATAAAACCTAATAAATAGAACATAATAAATTTTATTTATGTGATATTAATACACCTAATCTCATTAATAAAAAAATATTTCATTACATTTTTTTGGGTTAATTAAGACAAAAACTATTATATTTTGTTAATTGATTAATAATTATATTTTTCATTGAATAATATAATAGTTAATATTAAAATTAGTAATTATATTTTATACTAAATAATATATGAAAGTTACATAAAATTATATTTTACACTAAAATCAATATTTTTTTATATGATGAAGATGTTGTTTATTAAAAATTTAATTTTTTTTATGTCATAGTAAAATTTTTTAAAATCACATAAGCAATTGTTATAATAAATGTAATATTTTTCAGCTAATTAATTGGTCATGATCACTCAAAATTATAAAAAGTATATATTTATTACATTTTATGCAATCAATATAGTGATTCGTATACAATCAAATCGTGTGTACTATTTATTTTAACCAATGATCAAATTTTAAAATATAATACTATTATATAATTTATGATTTTAATATTATATACATAAATATAACTTATAATACTATATGTTTGAAATATAATACAATTATATAACTTATAATTTTTATATTATATACATAAATATAACTTATAATATTTAATTTTATTTACATCTGTGCAAATGCACAAGATCGAATACTAGTATTAATAGATTGCTGGCTCATGAGCATTTAATGAAACTTCTTAAATTATACCTATGTAGCAATATAACTTTTTCCCTCCAAAAATCATTACTTTTTATTTATTTAACCTCTCATTTAATTATCAAATAATCAACATACTAATCACTTCAAAATTACAAAAATCATTTTAAACTTTTGATTTACATACAGTTGACCATATTTAACTTGATTAGATGTCGTTGTGGTTATATCTAAATTAACTTCTTTTGAAAAATAAATAAATACCAAAATATACATTACATCCAATATGATAAACGAAATTTAAAAAAATAAATATTCTAGCTCCTTTAATTTAGGGGTGGGCGCGGTCCGGGACGGTCTGGGATTTGACTTATCCCGGTACCGATCCCACTTTTATGAACCGGTCCGGGATGAGGCACCATCCCAAATGGACCGGTATTATTCGGGACCGGGACAAAATGAGACAAATATATAAACTAAACCAAAGAGTATTGATTCTATTAAAATTTAAAACAAACAACCAACATATTGATTATATGATTTTGACTAAAAAAAATTAAGTATTCATATAAGCTAAATTACTAAAGAGTATTGATCACATTATAAGGAACTGCCTCCCCCCATTTTCGACTGTTCCGGACGCAACGGTGTTGTCTATTTTTTCAAATACAGCTCCGATTTGTGGGGTTGCTCACTAGTTACTGATTATAATGAATCAATTTTTATATTGAAATAGCACCCACTGAGCAACCTCCGTGCGATGGTCCTATGGACAAGAGAGAGATTAACTGGAAACTCACATTACATCAAATAGGTTGTAAATACTGATTATTAATAGTTCATCGGCCCTGTGCAGCTTGTGTGGAAGTGGGGAGAAGCAACTGGATCGATTCCTAACAAAAGAAAGTCAACCAATGCCGCCGCCCTGCCTTAAAGCTTAAAGAGAGAAGCTCTTTGACGGGCTACTCTCCAAGCAGCACGACCTCGCTTCCTCCCGAAGCTGCACTCTCTCTCCTTTAGCTCTCCACTCTCTCTCGACAGACAAGCGCTTTACCCTTTCTCCCTTCCGGCGGCGCGTGAGGGCGCGTGCGGCGTCGGATTCCGGCGACGTCGGCGGCGATGGAACCACCAGCATAATCATCGGTGGGTGAAACACGCATAGACTAGTGGTTTACATGCATACATTGATTATCAAGCCAAACAATTATAAATAACGAGACCATTTCAGTTCGATTCGGTATGGGAAAATTCAGTTTTTTTGTCCACCCCTACTTTAGTTGTAAATTTGGCCTGCAAAAAAGTGCAAGAAAAATCATTAATCATTATATACATACAAATAACTCACAATACTTTATTTATATTTGTGCATTTGCACAGGTCGAATACTAGTTTGTTTATCTTTCTAACTTATTTTTATTTTATTTTATTATTGCAAATAAAGTAAAATAAAAAATAAAAAAAATACATATACCAAGCATAAAATATGACATAATATGATATTTTAATTGATCATAAACGTTTTTTGGTTTCGTAATTTTTATTATTTTTTGTCGTTTCTTTAACTGTAATTATATTCGTTTAGAATCGAATTATCCATTCAATCAATGCTGCATTGATCCAAGCAGAAAAACAATTTTCAAATTAGAAAAATAAAAAATTGTATCACCCTCTTTTCTCAGATGCTTTGCTAGCGAAAGGTACAAACGAAGCAAAGCGAAGTGAAGTCATAAAAAAGGCCAATTACATCGAGCGAGATTTCGAAATTGACATTACCGTTGGATCGCCAAGTGAGTCTCGACTAAAAGGAGAGGAAATATGTAATTGACCTCAAAATCTCATTTATTAGGTGGATGTGATATACTCTTTCGAGAGCTAATATGAAAGGATAGCAAGAAAGTCGAATGCCACAGCGTAATGCCCCTCGCATGGAGTTCGATCCGCCTATGTACTCTTCTGAATACGCTTACTATCTTAACTCTCTCACCTCTCTCCCTCGCTCCCCACCCGAAGGGCTCTTTGACTGAACTTCGCTTCGCTTCCTCAACTCAATTACATGGACCCTGATTCTCTTTGGGTAAAGCGCTTTGGCAAGAAGGTAAGGCATGGTCAGCTGGAGCCGTGAAAGATATGCTTTACTAGACGTTTCATACCTTGAGGATGGACTTTATGATCGAATGAGTTGATATTTTTCTCACTTACATTAATCCAAATGTAAGGTAATTGAAAAAATGGGTTTCATGAATAGAAAAGGCAGAAAAATAGTAATGGTAATTGAAAAGTTATACATCCTAATATAACCAATATAAAATTATGAATTATAAACATACCATAAACTGTCGTAGAGTCACTGATATTGTGTTAACAAAAACATATACTGAAAAAATATTGTCTATATAATTAATATACTACCATGGACGGATCTATATGAGGCCTGGGCTGGGCTGAAGCCCAGGCCTCTTTTTTTTTTTTTAACAACTATTAGTTTGAAAAAAAATATTATATTTCTAGCCCAGTCCAATAAACTAATATAGATCCGTCCAAAGTCTATTATCACCACTCTAATACAATATTATATATTGGTGATCCAACCTTTTCACTGGGTACTAACCCACAAAAACACTATATACCAAACTTCAATCAAATAAATTAGTCACGACCATGTCCTTCCTAGTAATAGATTTTTATAAATATATGAGTGAATGAATACTAATATGAAATTGAGTTAATAGATTTGATGTATAAAAATGATTATTAGTAATATTTAATTATATTGATAACGTTGAGTATAGTAAAGTTGAATTAAATTTGAGTTTGTTTGAGTACTTATTAAATATGAAGTGAGTTTTTGTAAACAAACATCCTCTTACTATGTGGCATCATAGGATAGCATATATGTGGAGAAAATTGCAACCAGTAACATAAGTCGTTTCCCATTTTCGTCCAGTAATTTAGTAGGATCCAAAATTGGTCCAAAAACTCTTAAATTGTAGCTAATATAGTCCTATTTTGGCCCCGGTCGCGGAAATTGGATCAAAAGTTGCTGAATTAGCAAATTTCGACATTGGCTAGGCTGATGTGGATTGATTTTTGGCAGATTAATTGATGTGGCCATTTTAATTTTTTCCACATCATTTCTCATAAATTAATTAAAAAACTCACCCCTCATTTGCAAAATAAATAAATAAATAGAATAAAATAAAATTGAAAAAAAAAAGAAAAGAAAAAAACTCACCTCCCTCAATACCTCCAATATTAGTTGATTGCTCCCCCAATCCCCGTCACCGCCCAAGCTCATCACGACGGTGAACGCGCATTGATTCGACTTCTCCGAAGGCTGTCCCCCAAAATCTAGAAGCCCAATTGCCTGCTTCTCCTCATTAGAATCTCGTTGTCTCATAAGTTTATCAACTCTCAACTTAGATCTCTCGAATTTCTCCTGCCTAGTGAGAGTTTGATGGGGTTTTGCGGTCAAGTGTCACGACAAGTGCTTGAAGATGCTTTAGGGGCGGTCGTTGGTGAATTTAGACCTTCGCTGGCAAAGGTCAAGCTCCGCCCGCGAGGTGTTCGACGATTTTTCTGTGTGAACGACTGCCAGCGCAATGGAGAAGAACACTCCGTCACCGCCCAGGCTCGTCGTGCCGACTAAATGCGCGTTGCTCGACATCTCCGGCGCCTTTCTCCTGAGAATCTAGAAGCCTAGCCGCCCGCTTCTCCTCATCGAAATCTCGTTGATCGGTAAATTTATCGAACCCTCAACCTCGATCTCTCGAATTTCTGCTGCCTGGTGAAAGTTTATTGGGGGTTAGTGGCAGGGTGCCGCAACGAGTGCTTGAGGGTGCTTTCGGGGCGGTTGTTGGTGGATTTGGACCCTTGTTGGAAACAGACGAGCTCTGCCCACAAGGTGTTCGACGATTTCCCGTGTGAAGGACCGCCGGCACAATGAAAAAAAAGACGACGTTGAACGTGGCGAATGGATGGTCCTCGGCGCGCGAGGTTCAACTGCGGCAGTGCTGGGGTAGATCACGGCGGAGGAGGCGATGACGAGGTCATTGTGGTCGATGACGCACGATCTGGAGTTAGATTTCCCGAGATTATCCACGAAGACCGGCGGATTTTTTCTTTTTTCATTTGAAATTTTTTACTTTTTTTTAGTGGTGGGCGAATGTTTTAATTAATTTAAGTGAAAATGACGTGAAAAAAAATAAAAGTGGCCACATCAGTTAATTTGCCGGAAATCAGTCCACATCAGCCTAGTGAACACCGAAATTTGCCTACTCAGCAACTTATGATCCTATTATTGCGATCGAAGCAGAAATAGAACTAAATTAGCTAAAATTTAAGAATTTTTGGACCAATTTTGGATGCGACTAAATTACTGGACGAAAATGAGAAACGGTCTATGTTACTTGACTAAAACTGCAATTTTCTCAATATATGTAACTATCCCAGACTTATCCCATATATTCATAACAACCCGTATGATAACTGCGGGCCCACATAGGATTGCATCAAGACCTCGTTTGTTTATGTATAGGATTAATTAAATTAATACGTGGTTGGTGATTGTACTTTGTGGATTAAATTATACACGTTTGGTATGTGACATGCCACGGTTCGAACAGGCTCGGTCAAATTGTTGACCACAAATCTTGAAGCCAATGTCCCTGGGACTTATTCTGACTGAAACAAGTGGCGGGAATTGAGATTGGCCCGTGGTTTCACCCTAGCAGTTCAGGTTCATGTTTTTTAAAAAATTAAACTGTCGGTTCAATAAACCAGAATCGAAATCAAAGTCAGCTATTCGACACCAAAATTCTAAATTAAAAATTAATATATTTTTTTTTTGTTTCTTGAACCGGCCCTGAACCGCCGATTCATTGAACTGTTCCTTAGTCTCTCCTAAGCTAAAACCCTCACGGAATCATTCCGTGACGAGATTATAGCATTTTCTAATATTTTAATAACAATGGTGTTTGTTTGTCCTCATAACTCATGAAATATGAATGCATATTCGTCAATTATGCTCCCAACCTATAAAATTTTTTTATGTTATATTATTTTTCCTTTTTTATCTCTCAGTATTTTTTCATTTTTTTTTGTTTCCTTCCAATTTGATACCAGAATAATCGCCCTCTCTCCATCCGATTGCTCCCCAGTCTGACACTCCACAAAATATGACCATTCAACCTCTTCTGTTGATAATCAATAGTAAAAGCCATTTGGGAGAGAGATATTTCCCATTGTCATGGAAAAAAAAATATTAGTTCGCCTAAATGCAAAACCTGACCAAACAGGCAAACACAACTAATTCGAGAGTCGAAGCTTAGAAAAACAATATCCTACAACAGAACATGCTGAAGAGTGTGTGATATTTAACGATCATGCAATACTGAATTATGTGAGTTTAGATTATTAATTCTTACTCATCAATTCAATTAAGCTTTCTAAAAAATAATTATGGAGCTAACCAACCATGTCTCATATTTTGCAAAACACTGGGAAAGTTTGCTTTAATATGCAATTTTATTTACCTGTTTACTTCTTTGGATCTTGACCTTTACATGAACAGATACTCCAACACAATGGGCACTTGAAATAAATTCAAAGCAGACACAATAAAGTTCCCAACATCATTTGACAAAAGGTGAACTCAAAAGTAAAGATAACACACAGTAGATCAACACAGCATCTTCAGGCACAACTAAGTTCATATGAACATTACACTAGATTTAAAAACAATGAAAGGCAGAGACTAAATTTAAAAACAATGAAAGGCAAAGATCGCCTAGAGAAGAAAGTATTCGATCAACACAGAATCTTCAGGCACACGTAGGTTTATATGAACACTACTCAAAAATTTAAAAGCCACAGAATGCTTGAGACGAGAGATTTCGACTTACACTTACTTCCCTCATCCCAGATTTTCTCTCTCTAGCTACAAACGATCACAGTCCTTCATCGACTTCATCCAGAGTAAGCCAACACAGGCTTTCCACATAGGTTGTAGCTTCAATCGCCCTGTCAAAGTGATGCAGGGGTCTCATATTGCCCAAATCATACAACTTCAAACTCTCCACGTAATTAATCAACATTTTCCTAGCATCCACGTAATCAATCAACATTGTCCTAGCATCCACGGACACAAACAAACTCCGTCCGTAATTAATCAACATTGTCCTAGCATCCACGGACACAAACAGGGGCCTCGGCACTAAGAATCCATGCTCCAAAGGATCAACGGGAAAAGGCGCCTCAACCACTTTAGCCCAAGATTCCCCCACACCGTATTCCTTCATCACCCACACAACAATGCCCGCACGATTTACACGACAAATGGCGAGGCAACCACCAAAAACCCCAACCTCTACTACAACATAACTATCATAATTACCAAAGACTTCAGCACCAAAATCCCCACCAAAATCCCCAACCACTACTCCACCAAAACTATTACAATTACCAAAGTCTTCAGGTGGTATAGGCAGCCGAGTGAATGTCTCGGTGGAGAGGTTGAGGGAGACAATATCCCGTCTACCCGCAGACACTTCAACATACCAGTGGATGGATCCGTTCAGGAACTTGCCCTCCTGGCCGCCGGTGTCCGCACCCGGCCAGCTCAGGGGCTTCCACGAGTTGGCCCTCGAGCTATAAATCATGGCATGGCTCTCGTGCTCGTCGTTCCATATCATCGTGAAACTGTGAACCTCGATCACCTTGAAATCGTCATGGACCTCATCATACCCAAAGGAATACGAATTGGGGAAGTACAATAAGTAATTACACGGCGAGTTGGACTCTGGCAGGATTTCCATTTTTCTCGTGGCTGGATTCATTATACAGATGCTGCACTTGGGTTGATCAGACGAGTAGGACAAAATAAAGCAAACAAGACCGTTACAAGATCCGATCATCGTCAAATAGATATCAGGGGCAATAGGAGGGCAGTCTAAGGGGGAGACGTCGACGGGGATCGGATCTCGATTATTGTCGACGGAGTAAAGGCAGCCGGTGTATGGGTCGGCCATGACGGAGCCATCGATGGCGGAGTTGATGGGGCAAGTGTAAAGGCTGCCGTCGTTGTTAGTTATGAGGCCGAAGATGAGGTTTTCGCGGGCTGAAACGCTGGAATTATGAGCCGTCGAGGTTTTAAGGTGAGTTTTGGCGAATTTAGGGCTTGAGATGTGGAGAAGCCAAGGTTTACAGACGCACTTGAACTTGAGAAGGGATTTGACCGGCAGGCGGAGGAGGATATCGGTGATGATTTCTTCGGGGAGAATTGCGGCGGCAGTCGCCGGGTTGCCATTCTCCATGGCTGCGCCTCTTCAAAGTGGGTACAAAATCTACGAATCTCTCTCTATATATATATAATTGTTGCCTCATCAGTATCTAATAAAACTTATCTATAATAATATAAAAAAGTTTGTCATTTACCTGAAAAACTAACTAAAATCCCGCCAAAAAATATTAAACTTACTAACATTAGTAACTTTTTTTGAAAAAAATTTGAAAATTCCGCTCAAACATATTTTGAAAATTTCCAGTCAATAATTTAAATTCTAATATTTAAAGAAAGCAGTTTTAATTTGGTATATCAAATCAAATCTTAAATGGATTGATCAAAATTTTTGGTATATCAAATCAAAATTAAAATGGAATGATATCAAGTAGAAACTTAATTAAATGGATCGAATCCAAACTAATTCTCGCCCTCTCTCCAAAAGTGTACAAGTAATTTCTTGCGTGTTCTTTTTTTCTTGTCCGAGCATCCCGGAATTTTCTCCTCGAAAATCTGGTGTGAGTGCGTCTTCAATCATGTATGTATTCCCTCTCTCTGCACTGATTAGATTTTTTGAGGTTGTGTTTCGGATTTTTTGGTCTCTCTTTCACTTTCAATCTAATCGAAAGTTTTCACTCGCTCTTCCACTTTCACCGACGAAATTCTTATTTCTACCTCTCCAAGCTGTCAACGCCTTATCACTCTAAATCGGGACAAATATAAGGTCGGTCAGACATATATGTGGCTTGTGTTGGGATCTGTGAGGATCTCGTTATGTACAAGTCACGAATTCAATAGCAAACATAAACCCATGCGCAGCGGATCTAAAGGTTTGACGTAGAGAACTTACGGCTTAAAATTTATGTAGATCTGGTTGATCACGAACGGTTGACCGCAATTGATTGACCGCATATCACATCTTGGTTGCACGGACAAGATCAGATCAAAATCGGATCAAACGGATGCAAACAGATCAAAACAAAACTTTGCAGCCTAGGAGCTTCTGGCGGCGCGTGAGGGCGCGTGAGGCGTCGGATGGCTGCGATCTTGGCGGCGATGGAAAGCTCTCGTTGAGACGGTCGTCTGGGTATGCTGTACATCTCAATCGGACTTCCGGTTAGTTCTGTAGGTCAAAATATATTTCATCTCGGTTTACCTACAGATCTTCTACTGTATTACTCAATACACTCTTCTTCTACTTGTACCAGTGGAGCAACAAGAAGAAGATAAAGCTCGAATGAGATCTAGAGAGAGAGGCGTGGGGCGTGTCTCGTTAGAATGAGATTCGGATTCTCTTCTCATGAGCTTAATGATGTATATATAGAGGTACAGTAGAGACCCTTAGGAGATTAGGAAAAGGGCTCCTTAATTAATTAGACTAACTGTGGGTCAAGTCCACTCCTCTAATTAATTAAATAATATTAATGGGCAACTAACATTATATTATTGCACTCCTTTTTTCTAGCCCAAATTACATTTGAGACTCCAATAATAATTACTCGATTTACATCCCCACGTTTAAGATATAATATCCATTAATTAATTCGATTACTGACAATCAAGAATTAATTAATTTATTATTATTTCACCGAAGCTAGCGTTCGTCCATCACATTCTTATTCTGCCGGAACTTAATCCACCTGCAGGGTTTAGCATAACAATCCTTCATGAACTCACTCCGGGGACATCATCAAACTAACGCACATGGTGACCGTAAATATCCTAACAACACATCCTATATATAATAATATTACCCCAAATAGTAGGAACATTAATCCAGCGAACTGAACCTCACCCATGTGAATCAAAGTAATATATATTATATATATTTGCCTGTTTAATATCTTACGGGTTAAGAGAACGCAGTAATTAACCGAGGCCTAGTTCATTTACGACGACCAGTATAAAATGAACTTCTCCTCTCTGGGATCCTGTTCAATACATAAATGTACTAGTGCAACTAATCAGTCAAGACAAACTGTACAGTTGACACTACAACCGTTCGGATGGAGTGTTCATGTCCATCTAGGTTGTGAACAACTATTCTTGTTCGCAAGTGACTGATAGAGTGATCTTCGGTTCGCCCGATGACGACCCACCCTATCTAAGTGCAGAACAACAGAACGTAGAACTTGTTTAATCTAACATGATTCTCATTCATAAAGGATAAATGTGTAATAACATGTAAAGCCAAGCTTTCAGTATATAACACTAGCTTGACCACGGCGACGATGGTCTGTTGGCGCATCGGGGTTCTACAGTCGGGTCCGCGCGGCCGTTGGCGGCGGATGTGTCTGTGCGTCAGATGGTCCGATGAGTTTTCTTTTATTTTAATTTTTTATTTTATGTTAGAAAGATGTAATTAGGTGTTGTAGATTGATATGGATGTTGGAATCTGACTAATGTGAATGGAGTAAATTGTGCGTAGGTGTCTGTAGCACGGGCGTGCAGAAAAGAACTAATTAGCAACCGCCATCGCGTGGCCGTGTGGGTTTTCTCACCAGTCGTCTCCGGTGCTCAGGGTCACCGTTGATGAGGTGTGCTGTACCCTGGGGAGCTCGCTCTGGCATGAAATTATTGTAAGAAATTTGCTCTTAGGTTTTCAGTTTTTATTTTTCCTTTTTTTTTTTGGTTTGTTAATGATCTTTATCCCCCTAATTTTTTAAAACTTCAGCGAATAAGTTTGATGAGTATCAAAATTCAGGCAGCGACAGATTCATGGAGGATTTAATCGCAGAATTTTTCTTCATCTCTGGCAACGGCGACTCCTTTTGTTTACAGTGGCTGGCCCACATCATCTGGGGCCTCAAGGATAAGAAGATGGTTAGCTCTCGATTTTTATTTTTTTTTGGTTAAATTCTATTTTTTTTCCCTTATATCATGCTGAATGGGCTCAAATTGGAAATCGTCTACAACGATTCAAGACGCAATCGAAATCGATGTGGCTAAAGCTCTGTTCGATCTGATGAAACAATCTCATTTTCATTCACAGTCATCGGAAAGGCAAGAAAAAGTCGATATAGACTAACACAGATAATAATAATGGTGATGATGGTAAGCTCATATGCTTCATTTGCCTTTTTTTTTTTTTAACTTGGAAAAAAATGTGTTTCTCAATAAATGTGAATTTTGTTGGATACAGATTCAGAGGAGATTGACGTTATTAATGCTAGAGAATCTCAGGATGTGCATGCCGGAGGAGAAGCTACGGGTGATGATCAGGAATCGGTAAAGAATCTCGCTATATGGACGAAAGATGGACGCCGACGGGGACCGGCGCTCTGTATGCATGGTGATGGCAAACGGCGGAGGCGACGAGGAGGACGACGGTGAAGAGTACGTGCTGTGGTCAGGATTTTCGATCGGGACGGGGCTGGTTCATTATGGCGGATGAGCTGAGGTCGGGATTTTCGGGCGATGATAAAGTGCTGCGAGTTCATCAGGGTTAATTTATTGTTTATTTTTAATAAATTTTTTTATTTAGATGTGCAAAGTTTAGGAGTTCCATATATCAATGATTTTTTTTTTTGTTTTATTATGTAATCATTCATTAACAATTGTTGACGGTTAATTGTAGAGTTTGGGAGTCCAATATATCAATTGCATGAATTTGGGTTTCTTTATGTTGTCCCGGAGCAAGCTTTTCTCGTGCTTTTTCATCGTCTGAAACTCCCAAAGTGAGTTCTGTCTAAGAAAAATTGCACCTCCCTCTCTCTCTCTCTCTTTCTCTCTTTTTTCTCTCTCTTTCTTCTTTAATTTTCTTAAAGATTTTTAGTGGATTTTTTTTTCTTATTATTATTACCAGTGAGAGGTACTTTGCACTGTGATACTATGAGTGAAAATATTTCCCCACTTAAATACATTCTGTCTTGACAAGGGTGTTCAAAAAACAATGTGCATGCGTCTATATTTTGTTTTGGTAAAATCTATTGTTTTTGGATGAATTGATTTATTGGGACAAATAAGTTAATTGTTGTCCTTATCGAATCACAAGCCTGATCATGAATATATGTCTAGTTTGCTTTAACTAATTTATTGGAATAAATACTTTTAAATGTTGAGATATTTATTTGTAGGGATACAATTTTTTTTTTCAAAAGTATGTAATTTTTGTTAAAAATGTAGGACGACTCCAAAAAATTTATGATCTAACTAAATCTATCTATATCTATATAAAAAAGTTTGCCAAAAATCCTTAGTTAAAATGGGATTCCAACTCAGCACCTTTTGAGTGAGATTTTCAGATCCGAAAAATCAGCTGAAATTCTGTTAAAAAATTTCGTTTTTACTTTTATTAGTAGTTTTTTTTAAAAAAAAATAAAAAATGGCGTTCTTTTTTAAAATTTAAACTAAAGAAAAATGAATATTTTGAATTCAATGGTCAACAATTGCGGGCGGTGTATTTCATAAAATTTTGTCTGAGATTTTTGTTCCAATATTGCTCCTATATAACAAAGGAAAGAAAATAAATATATTTAACCAATGTATATAATAATATAATTTTGATTAGATATGTGACCCAAATTTGAACTGATTTATTTTGACAAATCACGTGTATAATCTTCTGTCGAGATTTTGGTCATGATCCTCGAAATTCCCTACAAATTGTAGAATATTTAGTCACAATTATATCCTACAAAAGTTAATACAAAATATTTTAATTAAAGAATATTTGATACAAAATACTTTAATTAAAGAAAGGATATGTATGATTTATTTGATATTCACATTTGTATATCTATATCTATATAAAATGATTTGTATTTACTTGAAATAATAGCTAAAATCCTAGTAACTTTTTTTAAATCTTTTTTAAAAGTGGAGGAAATTATTTGAAATTCAAATTAAAAAAATCAATCTAATTAATGTACAAAATTATTTTACTCAAATATTGTGGTTATTATCTTTATTAATGAATTGCATGATTTAAATTTAGTGTATAATAAGCAATGTATATTGTATTTGATACAGAAACTAAATACTAATTATAAGTAAATATAGCTAAATCATTCTAAGGAGGAATAAAATATATCTATAAATAGGTGTATCTTGAATTAATTATGGCATAGATAATAGTTTATTGCGAATTCATTAATTTTATAGTTTAACATCAAGTATTTATATGGTTTACTTATCATGATTTTGATGCAATCTTTAACTTATATATAATACTATTAGTAAAAATTCAAAATACTATGCGCTGATAGGAAGTGAATTTTTAATTGCGTACTTCAATTAAAATGGATTAATTTAATAAATAAAGATGGACAAAAAATAAGAAGTGTCTGCTTTCATGTTTCTAATCTAAAAAGTTTTGATTATTTTTAAAATAGTAATAGTTTTCCTAAAAAAATTATTTATTGTTATTAATAAATCTAATTTTGATATAAAGTGGGCGATTTTATGGTATAAATGTAGTCGAATTTAATTAATCCAATTTACTGGATATAATTTGAATTGTGTTTGATATAATGTGTTGTTATAAATAGTTATTTTGATGGTGATTTTGCTGGACTCGAGGTATGTGATGGCGATTTTAATTAAGTATAATGGTGTGCCTACAAGGCAAAAATTTTTGTCTACAAGGACGTTTTTAATAATATGTAATAGTTTTTTAGTATTATTTATTTAATTTTCTTTATTCACGAATATAATAATGAAGTTGGGTAAATGACCTTAAAATTGTCCACCCCGTGCATCGCACGGGATCTGTACTAGTTAAATTATATGTACCAATATAATTTTTTCCCTCCAAAAATTATTACTTTTTCATTTATTTAACTTCTCATTTAATTATTAGATAATCAACATACTCATCACCTCAAAATTACAAAAATCATTTTAAACTTTTGATTTACTTACAGCTGACCATATAATGTGTTGACTATTTAACGTGATTAGATGTCGTGGTGGTTACATTTAAATTAACTTATTTTGGAAAATAAAAAATGTATTTGAAATTCTTAAATAAAATAATAAATAATTCACAAACAAAAAATACATACCAAAATCCCCTCTATATATAATTTCAGAATGCGCTGAGCCTACGTGCGCTTCGAAATCTTATTTGGCAAAATATCATGCTTTGAAGTTAGGCTTGGATATAAATTAATATTTTCTTCATATTAAATCCATGATTGATTTCCTATTATAACCTTTAAATTGGAAATGTATTTTAAAAGTTGATAACTTTTGTATTTCTTATGGGTTTTACATATATAACATATCAAATTAATCATCTTTTGATGAACTTCGATTTGACATCCATAATGTGTGTATAAAATAAATAAAATATATTTATCTTTATGATAATAATAAAATTATTTATTAATCTATTTTGCTTAATATTAAATAAACATATTCTACACTTATACATATCACCATATTATTTCTATTTATTTAAGATATATATTTTTATACTTATGTAATAGTAAATAACATCGATATTTTTATATGATATAAGTAATAAAATTCAACACGAGTTGACATTTTCATTTAATGTACGGGCGTTTAATTATTATGCTTAAAAAATATAATTTAACAATTTAATTAAAATCCAAAGTAATGTTTTATATAAAATTAAATTATTTTAGTTTTGTAAAAAAATAAAAAAAATTAATATTTTTTACAAAAGTTTTATAATTCAACACCCGTGTAATACACGGGTATTGTACTAGTATACATTACATCCATTATGATAAACGCAATTTAAATAAATAATTATTCTAGCTCAATTAATTTAGGAGTGGGCGCGGTCCGGGACGGTCCCAGATTTGACTTGTTGTCCCGGTACCGATCCCACTTTTATGAACCGGTCCGGGATGAGGCACCGTCCCAAATGGACCGGGACAAAACGGTTTGGGACCGGGACAAACATATAAACTAAACCAAAGAGTATTGATTCCATTAAAATTTAAAACAAACAACCAACATATTGATTATATGAAAATATACTGTATATACCCGCAACATATACAGAATAAAACTATCTATCAACGAATTAAGCATGCCAAATTGTTTCGACAATTATCCTCTGAGAAGTTTTTCCTCAAATGTATTCAATTATGGCCAAAACAACACCATGTTATTTGTCAAAACGGATTCAAGCACACCAAGTTTTCGTCAAAATGAATATCCAAAATTACATAAACAATAATCAACCAAAAATAAAAAATAAATTCTCATTTTTCGTCTCATATCAAATTATTCGTCAACAAAAAAACATGCTAATACACTAAACATAAACAATATATAAACGTAAAAATAAACATTGAAACAATCCGATCGAAACTCTTCAAATGTCGCCGTTGCTCACAAGCAGGGCTGCCGTCGTGAACTGAGACTCCGCCATCTCGAGATGAGCCCAGGGCCGCAGCCGCTCGTCTCCGAGTCAAGCGAACCATTGCCGGTTGAAAGCGGGGACGCCCTTCGTCTCTTCAAGCGAACCGCGGTCGGTCGAGAATTGTGCGACGGTTAGAAGGCGATGGAGTCCACCATCAGGTATCTCTCCAATCGTCGGAAGTCGTCGCTCGTCCACCATCATCGCGGTCGAGATGCATGTGGTGATGAAAACTTGGCGAAGCTGCGGATTGCACCATCAGAACTCGACCAACCAAAAAAAAAATAGAAAAAAAATCAATTGTAGGGGAAAAAAAGAGAATTATGCGTAGAAGAAGAAGAAGAAGAAGAAGAAGAAGAAGAAGAAGAGAGAGAAACAAAGGGGGAGAGAGAGAAAGAGAGAGATGGAAAATAAATCTCGTAACTAATCTCAGGAATCAGTTTTGGAATGTGATAAGTCGCCTTTAATTACGCTGACTTAATATTGTTGTTTTAAATAAATCAGTTTTTACATACTGGTAATTTTGCAATTATAAAAGTGAGATATTGTATATTTGTTAATATTTGCAATGGGGTTTCATTTTTATAATTAAAAATAATATGTACCGTAGGGTGTGCAATTTCCTCAAAATACTTTAATATACTGAAAAATAAATATAAAATAATCAAAGCAAATAAATCCATCAAAATAATAAATAGGTCGAAAAATATAAACCTGCGAATAAAATTAAGTATATAAAAATACGCGGACAATTATATAAAATATACACTTTTTCCGACCAATCAACATCCTTGTAAACAAGATTATTTGTTTGGTCTTTTAGTACATCGTCTATTGCCACAAATTATATTAAGATTCTACATAAACTTAAATAAATCAATTAAATTATTTAGCAAGATATATATGATATGATTTATACTGTTTTTATAAAGATTCCATAACCAAATATAACGGAGATTGTAAAACGTCTCCTTGATAATCTATAGCCTTATTATATAACAACCGAAGGGGAGGCTCGACCATCCAAATAGGCTGAAAGAGAAGCACGGCTACTCTAACCAATCGGACGGGCGGCATGCCCACCCGAATCGAGCGAAGGAGAGGCGCGGCCTCTCGAGCCAAGCAAAGGAGAACCAGGCCCACTCGAGCCGGTTAAAAGAGAGGCGCCTCGACCCGAAACTGAATCGGGGACGTCGAAATAAATGGGACATCCTCAAGGTCAAAAGGGTCATTTGAAAATGAGCCCCCGAATAGTTGAACACGTCTTCGGCCTCGTCAACTAAACGAAATGCATCGGTCCCGGAAGAGGGATCGAAAGGAATGTCTACATGGAAGGGCGAAGTGAAAATGACGTGAGAACTATTGGAGACGAGACCTTGGCTCGAACCCGAAGATCGAGACATCGAGCTCTACTATTAAGAGGTGGGCGAAAAGAAATAAGAGATCAACACAACATTTTCAGGCACAACTAGGTTCATATGAACATTACACTAAATTTTAAAACAATGAAAGGCAAAGACCGCTAAAGACAAAAGCATTTGATCAACACAGCATCTTCAGGCACAGATAGACCCATATGAACATTACTCTAAAATTTAAAAACTATGGAAGCCAAAGAGCTCTTTAGACGAGAGTTTTCGACTTACTTCCCTCATCCCAGATTTTCTCTCTCTAGCTACAGACGAATCAGAGTTCTTAATCATCTTCATCCAGAGTAAGCCAACACAGGCTTTCCACATAGGTTGTAGCATCAATCTCCGTGCAGGTGTCAAAGTGATGCAGGGGTCCCATATTGCCCAAATCATACAACTTCAAACTCGATCCGTAATTAATCAACATCGTTCTAGCATCCACTGACACAAACACGGGCTTCGGCAATGCGAATCCATGCGCCCAAGGATCAACAGCAAAAGGCGCCTTAACCACTTTAGCCCAAGATTCCCCCACACCGTATTCCTTCATCACCCGCACATTAAGTAATTACTCGGCGAGTCGGACTCCGGCAGGATTTTCAATTTTCTCGTGGCTGGATTCATTATACAGATGCTGCACTTGGGTTCATTGTACGAGTCGGACGAAATAAAGCAAACAAGACCGTTACAAGATCCGATCATCGTCAAATCGATGATCTCATCGTCAGGGGCAATAGGAGGGCAGTCTAAGGGGGGGACGTCGAAGGGGATCGGATCTCGATTGTCGTCGACGGAATAAAGGCAGCCGGTGAGTGGGTCGGCCAAGACGGAGCCATCGATGGCCGAGTTGATGGGGCAAGTGTAAATGCTGCGGTCGTTGTCGGATATGACGCCGAAGATGAGGTTTCGCAGGCTGAAACGCCGGAATTTTGGGCCGTCAGAGGTTTTAAGGTGGGTTTTGGCGAATTTAGGGCTTGAGATGAGGAGAAGCCATGGTTTGCAGACGGACTTGAACCTGAGGAGGGATTTGACCGGCAGCAGGAGGATCTCGGTGATGATTTCTTCCGGGAGAATTGCGGCGGCGGTCTCCGGGTTGTCATTCTCCATGGCTGCCCTCTTCAGTTTTTGCCGGCGTAGGGATTATCAGGGATTGTATACAAAAAATATATTTGCAGAACGTTTTTTTAACGCTGTTACTATTTTATTTATTTTTATTTTTATTTTTATTTTTATTTTTTTTGCGCAACGTAGAGATATTATATAACTAAAAGCAAATCCAGAACAAACACAACCAATTCATGGGTCGAAGCTCAGAAAAACAAATATCCTAGAACAGAACATGCTGAAGAGTGATATTTATCGATTTTATACAATACTGGATTGTATGAGTTTAGATTATTACTTCTTAAGCATAAACTCAATTAAGCTTTTTACAAATAACTATGTAGCTAAACAACCATGCTTGACACCATGTCTCATATTCTGTTATGTACACACAGTACACTGGTCTGAGCAGAGTACAAAACACTGCAAAAGAACCAAAGATCACTGTACAAAGAATATGTTTTATTCAGACTAATCACATTATAGGAATATTATATTTATGTGGCACTGTGCTGTTCTAACTTCACAACCCATAGAGCTAATGACTTCCAAATAGAATAAGAGGAAAAAAAAAACAAGGATGTTTCTGTACGAGCCACACCACATCCCGAATAGTTTTTCCTTACGTTTCTGGTATAGTTGCCAATGATTCCTGAAGACAAACGAGTCAACATATCAACAATAAAAAGAAAAAAAAAAAAGAAAAAGAAAAAAGGAAGGACAAAATACACACACACTCAACATAAAGTACGCATATTTAAACACACAAACTTACCTCTGAATAACGCATAATGTGACGCTTTTGTGCCTTAGTAGTTCTAACAATGGTTTCCCACTTGATATCATCACTAGTAGGTGCCTTTGAAAACCGGTCTCGAGGATTGATTGATGAGTTTTTTGTCGAAAGTGAAGGCAATGTACGCCAAAGCCAAGAATCAGATGGAGACTTGGGCAAAGGAGGTGGGAGAGGGTGCCGAGAGCTCATTTGTTCGGAGTTTTCAAGAGCTGTCGCTTTTTCTACAACCTTCGCCTCTTGTAAAATTTCTCCACTAGTTGAATCCGGCAGAAAAACTCGACTTTCTGCAAACTCTGTCCTGCTGCTTTTTTCACACGACTCGTCTGAATTTGCTATATCCGTTTGGTCAATGCACTGTGCTGTGCTGTCGGGAAAAGGTCCCGAATCCGGGGACCCCACCTTGTGAGTTACTGTATCCACGTAGAGGGTTTTCTCGATATCCGAGCTCGACTCCTTCGGACTGCATTGACCAGTCAATAGTTTCTCAGAGGTTTCGAGACCCTTCCCATCACCGGATTCAAGTCCTTCAGCAATAATACTAGCATTCATTTTCACTTGGTGACTGTTGTGGACTTGTTTTGATGTATTGTGACTTCCTAACCCACTCAACTCATTTCTTCTTGATCGGGTCTTTTCGCTGTTAAGCTGCCCAAAATAAAAAATAAAAAAAAATAAAATCGAAAAGAAGGTGCATAATTTGGTTGAATAACAAAGCACCTAAATATGAGAAGTAATGAACACAATAAGTAACAACCAAAATATATACCTTAGAAGAACCAGGCCTCCATTGCATTTTCTTAGCTGAAACAGGATTTATGAGGCAGGCTGGATGAATAGTCCTCCTTAGGCAAAAACCGGGAAGCAAACCACACAAATTCTGACGTTGACCATAGTCAACATCACTCTCTTCTTCTTCTTCTTCCTCCTCTTCTTCTTCTTGGTAATGTGAATACCGCTGGGCAAAACTCGGCCCATACCTTAGTGCAGGCTTTTTCTGATTTACCGTCTGTTGAGATCGTTCTTTGACCAGAATTTGTTGTTTTTCAGTCGATACAAACCGAGGAGTACTCTCCAGAGAAGCCATTGCCTTAGCTGCTGGGAGAAATCGATCCATCATGAACTCCCGATCACCCGGAGGCATAGCATGTGAGCCTCCGGGCCCACTTATTAGCCCACTCGTACTACAGTTCAAGGAAAATGACTCTTCTGTCCTCGAGAGTGTATCGAGTGCATCCACATAAGCTTCCTCACTACCATCCTCATCATCCTCTTCCTTCACCACCTCCTTACTGCTTTCATCGACTTCTCTAAAATTTTCTTCAACAGCCAATTGCTTATCATTATTGTTTACATTATTGGCCTTTGGGAGTCTCCCTGGAGGAAGCTTTGGGGCGAGTGTGTCGATACTCGTTTTTTGGTCGTTAGGCGGTTTTATTATCATTAGCTGCTTGGGGTGCCCTGGAGCTCGCTCCCATACAAATGGCACTGAACCGGGATTTCTAAGGGGACCCGATTTTATTTTTGATTGAAAGCGTGGGGGAGAATTGTAATCGGCTTTCTTCGTCTCGTTTTGTATTGTTCTTGGGGTTGTGTATCTTCTAGCTGATAAAAGAGGCTGGTTGAGATTCAGCTTCTGTTCCTCCATATTGGCCATCAGTTAATCTGGATGATAATATATCGATTTGGAGAAATCCAAATATCAAGAAACAATTCCAGAAAATTAGATAGAGTATTTGCAAACTCCAGATCAACTAATATTGAAACTAATAGATTCACTGCATCTAGGTGGGAAGAAACATATAGAAAGTGAAGGAAAAAGGAAAAAGAAGCTGCCTAGAAGCACTTCTTTTAGATTCTGCAATCACTCCAAAACTGATTTGCTAGAGAACTGATTATTATTTTCTGGCCCAAAAGAAAAACATGTACACACACGTAGAGAGAAGGGGAAAAAAATTGCAAAATCATCTCTACATCTCCAACTTCAGTTTTTCATTACAGGAATTCTTGACAAAGAAGTCAGAAACTTTCTGTAATCCGAAGTAATTTTGGTACAAATAGGCTTTTTATACTCCTTCCCTTCAAGCTCAACCTCTGTAAGAAAAACACTGGATAAAACAATCATCATCATTGAGTACAAACAACCACGCAAATTCACACACAGAGCAAATAAATTAAACATCACAGACCAAATACAGCACATATCAAACAAATCCCAGATAGCACCCCAGCTACAACTCAACCACATCTCCATACAAGCTTTTATGGAGAGAAAAAAGAAAAAAGAAAAANATTCTAACGAGCATATTTCTATGCATATTAATGATGAGGAGAAATTTGTTTATTAAAAAAAAAAAATCCCGTTAATGGGAATAAATTTTTAAATAGGTGGCTTTTTGAAGTAGCAGCCATTGGCCTTTCCTTCTGCACCGTACAAGTTTCATTACTGTATTTTTTTTTAAAAGTATTTATCTGCATTTGACTCAGGTATCATCATTTTCAATACAATGTTCATTAAATTTCATAGGTTAGTTGGTTGCTTTTCAAGACAATCAATTTTTATCGTTGACCTGAACTTGAATGTCATTATACCTCAAACATAAAGTTTATGGAGCCATCGATGGCTCCATTATAGAGTCATTCATATCTTTATGTATTGACACGTGTCTAATATATCTCAATTACATATTACTGACTATTCTTTAGAAAATTAAGACTTATTGGAATATTCACAATGCTTTGTATAGAAATATTATCATCTTTTAACTGATTGCATACTGCCGTTTAATTAAATATTCATTTAAAAAATTCAACCGAATAATGAGTACCGTATAATAGTCATCACCTAATAATAATTTACCCAAAGCAAAATACTAGTAATTTAAGCTGCTATTGGTTGTTAAAAAAAATGGATTATATCTAGTCGAATATTTTTGTTTTTACAATTTTTAACTCCAAATTCAACTCAAAGTTAATTTAGCTCAACTCTCCTCGATATATCAATATCTCTATACCTCCAAATATATTGAGGAAATATACATACTACAAGCATCCACTCGCAATGTAAAATTTTTCAACATAATTTACTCCGACACGAATTAAATTTTTAACCGTAAAAAAAATCAATCAAAATTGGGTCAAACATATATTAAAACAACTGATATTCCTAACATAATTGTTTATGTACACATTTTTTTATTTAAATGTCAAACATTCAAAATAAAATTATCAAATTACATAATAATATTATTTAAATGTAGAACATTTTTTTTATTTAAAATAATTTTAATCAATATTTTTCTAACATTTTATGAGATGTGTCTTTACTTACTAGTTTATGGATCATGTGAATATTTAATTATGAGGTGGATGGAGGACCCAAAAGTCATAGTCAGTCCATACACATGCATAATTAATGATTCGCCCAGAGTGTAAAATCTGAAAAATTGTGTTCAAAACTTTTTTTTTTAAAAAAAAAAAGAGAGAATTTTTTTCTCGAAAGTTAAGAAATATTTTTGTGCAATAATATAAATTAACACTATCCAATAGTTGTGAATTTAATCATTTTTGGAATATAATGCTGAACAGCTCAACCTAAGATTGGGGCTCTGAAAAAAAATGTTGGACATTTCTTTCTTTTGTTCACTTCCATTGAAAAATAGTTGTATATCCCGACAAAAACATGGGGAGACTTAAATGATATATGCTTTGTGGTTAAATGATATATGCTTTTAATTTAAATCTTTTAGATATAGATATAAGTCCTTTACAACTCAGATTGTGTAGCCATTGTTCTCATCAGGTCATAAAAATTGCATTATTGATCCCTTTATTTTGGTACTATAATGTTTCCAAGTATTGCTTTCTATGGACTACTTTAGTGGGAATATATTTTGATCAGGTAATAAATATGTTGTCACTCAATCAATAAGGTAGGGTTCATGCTTTCTCATTTTACGGTATAAAGAGTGAACAGTATGAGGGAATCGAATCAAAGTTGAAGGTAATGAAGAAAGAATGATTGACGTACGGGATTTTGTTATATTTGTTAAATAGGCAAAATTGTATATTAATACATCATTTTTTATGTTTTTGCAATTTAATCACCATATTTAAAATTTGCAAATAAATACACCATTTTTTGCAAATTGATACATAGATGACGGTTTCGTTAACAGAAATCTGACATGACATTGACGTGACTTAATGTCATGTCAGATTTTTTCTACATTTCTGTTAACGAAACCGTCATTCATATGGATTTGCAAAAATGGTAAATGTGGTGTATTAATTTACAAAATTTTAAAAGTGGTGATTAAATTACAAAAAACACGAAAAGTGGTGTATTAATATACAATTTTGCCTAACCAATAACATAAACCTGGTAAATCTCCAAACTGAATGTTACATTATATTTCTTCTACATAATAATAATAATAATAATAATAATAATAATAATAATAATAATAGTAATAATGATAATAATAATAAATATATGTACCACACAGAGCAGCCTGGGAAAATTGTTCTGTAGCTCTCAGCTAACAATTACTAAAAAATGATTTTAGTTGCTTCTCAGAGGATGGGGCTTGGGCGGCCGACGATAATCCGAGCTAAAAGCTTGGGAATATTTTTTCCAGTTTTCTTTTCTATGGTCTCCAAGAGAATAAACTGCCATTCTAACTTTCTTGATTTCCTTACCCTTTTGTCCTTCAAATAATTTCCTCAACCCATTTTTTCGAATTCCCGTTTTCTTTGTTTTGATATCATCGGTTATCGTTTTACAATGCATTGTGGCAAATGTTGGGATCGTGCACGCATGATTTGGGACCTGGCGATGATGATGATGTGGAGTTTCCTGCCATTGTCGATCGAGTTAGTTATTTTGCATGGCATAAAACTGATAGATGTATAATAAGCTTAAGATTAAAATGATTTTGAAGTAAAAATTATAGTGTTTGTATACATTGTAAATATGCAGATATATATACATACATATATCCCACTAGTTTCCATGGTACTCTTGTTACATTACAGCATTATGTAAAATTCCTTGTAGAAATATTTCTCGAGTTAGATATTTGATAATTTGAACTTAAATTATTAGCATGAGAAAATGCGAAAATCTTCTATTAAAATTAAAGGTACTATAGAACACTAGAAATGAGAAGGGCAGCTAAAAAAAGAACTTGTAATTTTGTATATTTGAGTTACCCTTTGGCAAATGTACAAATTTTCCTCATGAGTTACAGGCTAAGTTTGGTAGATCAATAAGCTAGTTTATAGCTTATTTGATTAGCTTATAAGTTCCCTGTATTTAAATAAACTCTGTTTGGTAAGACGAGCTTATTTGATAAGCTTCTTTTGGTAGGGTTCCTATCTAACGGCTACAAGAGCCTGTGCCATGCAGCTGGATTTTGGACCTTTGCATGCTGAGTCATGCAACGTGACAATATCCCTTGCACATGTTGTACTGGTGACCTTACTGTGCATGTACTGAGTTTTTGCAAACTCTAACACGGACTTACCGTGACTGCAAATTTCAGTTATAGCAACAGTTACAAATCCAAATGAGGTTACGGACTTCAGATTCTAATGTATATTCTTGTCTTCGATTTTTATATGGAGATATTAAAAAAAGCTGCTTAAGTTTAGATACTTCGTCTTACAACTATTGCAGAATTTGTAGTAATTTAGATTATATTGTGATGCCTGTAAAGGGCAAAATTTCAAAAAAAGAAGAAGAAGAAGAAGAAAAAGAAGAAGAAGAAGAAGAAGAAGAAGAAGAAGAAGAAGAAGAAGAAGAAGGTTACGGACTTCAGATTCTAATGTATATTCTTGTCTTCGATTTTTATATGGAGATATTAAAAAAAGCTGCTTAAGTTTAGATACTTCGTCTTACAACTATTGCAGAATTTGTAGTAATTTAGATTATATTGTGATGCCTGTAAAGGGCAAAATTTCAAAAAAAAGAAGAAGAAGAAGAAGAAGAAGATTTTTTCGGTTACAATAAGCGAACTTGAAGAACATTTTTTCGGTTACAATAAGCGAACTTGGACTTCATCAAATTCGGTTACAATAAGTTGGCAAATTCATAAAAGAGATACATTAATCATCCTCACGAAATTAACATTTTTTCTATGTTGGTCCAATTATTCTGTATTCGGCGACATTCCGATGTCCAACAACGTTGTTCTGGTTGAATGGCCTATTGTTGGACTCGTCTCGTTAATGTGGTTGTACCCGTAAAATTTACAGCCAACAGAATTCGGGCGTTTATCCATTCAATTTTCCATAAGATATTTTTTGTGCATCTCATTTTTTCGTCCGCTTTGTGGTATAATTTCAATTTCATCCAACTTTTATTTTGACAGAATGACCTACCGTTGGACTCTATCTCCTTGAGGCAGTCGTGCCTATAAGTTTTTCAATCCAATTGTAGTCCGTTTGTTCATTTAATTTTTGGTAACACTCACATGGAATGAGATCCACTTGATTTTTTATTTTTGGTCGATCCCACTCAATGCGAGTGTTATGTACACCCCTATATACAACATTATGTAACTAAAACATTTCTCTTTTTTCAATTAACTAATGCATGTATTTAAATTCAAGTTTTTGTATTTACAATCATAATGTTGGAGACTTTGATAACCCACTAGTTTGTAGCCCATTTTGCTCGAAATTATTTGCATTAGGTCATCTCCAACCAAAAAATCTATTCTCAAACTCATTTTGCATGACTGTCACATCAAACACTAATTCATATACAAAAGAAAAACTCATTATCAAATCCAAAACTCATTTTGCAGAAAAACTCGTTCTCAAACCCAAAACTCATTTTGCAGATGCATTTGCAGTGCGGGTGAACTAATTTCAACTGCAAACGATGAGTTTTATCCCTTGAGTGGTTGGAGACGGTTTTAGGTTAAATTTAATTTAGGTTAACAAATTGCTACGTTTAAATTAGATTGTTTTATGTAGACATGGCCACAGGCTACCCGGCCCAGTCTTGCTCGAGCAGACCAAGTAGGAGAGGTTCATTGTAGCACTTGAAAGTAAAACAATATTTGTCCACGGTTCGCTTGAGTGGCTGGAAATCGAAAGTGAAGAGTCTTGCAGGACGAGCTACTTTGAATAACTCACTCTGCAATTCCCACCTACCAGATGATGACTGTTGTCCTACCCAATGGGACGATGGAAGCAATTGATAAGCTGGATCGTTCATTCCTTTGGGGTGGCTCTGAGGGGAAGAGAGGCTTGCATCTTGTTAACTGGTCTGAGGTTTGTAAACCAAGGATGGCGGGTGGCCTAGGTATTAGAGATATGGAGACTCATAATTGGGCACTCATCCAGGAGACCAAAGTGAGTCTCTACCATAGGGAGAGGGAAGGTGTAATTGACCTTTCATTATGGAACTTGAGAGCTTGTGGGTGAAGGTCGACGTAGTTGAGTCTAGAGTCAGTGATGACTTACTCCTTTCCGTATACAACATATAGCTAACTTGACGGAACCAATTAATTTGTCTATTGGATTAGAAATCAATAGGGACTCCTCAGCCTGAAAAAAGACCATTCTTTGGCCCTGACCCGACACGAACCCGGCTCGGTCAAACCTGTTGACCACGGGTCCGAGCCGGGACCGGGTTTTCGATGGGCCATTTCAGGGTCATTATTTCATGACCCTGGCCCGGCCGGCCGGGCCGAGTCCTGGCCGATTACCCATTTTTCTTTATATTTTTTTTATATTATTCTATATTTTTTCAGTAAAAAATGACGACCCGGCCCAGATTCGGCCCGGTTCGGTTAACCGGGTCATGGACCCGGCACGAGCATAGGTCCGTGCCGGTTCAGGGTCCATGAAACCCAACCCGGAGGCCCAGCGGGCCGGGCGGGCCGGGCCGTTCCATGACCCAACTCGGATTTTGACCATGTCTCGTTTTAAGCCCAGAAACTTGCTAAAGCTAGTCTCAAACTGCTAAATCTATATATATATAATTGCTAGCTACTCCCATTTAATAAAACATTTAATAAAAATATTTTCACTTTCCCTCCAAAAGAAGTTACATTTTTTTTAATTAATTACTCATTAATCTCACATTTAAGAAGGTTTTTTATAGTTAAATTTAATTAGTTAATGACTAAATTAAAAAGATTTATTTTAATTAATCCCACATTTATGTTAAGTACAGTATTAGCTTAATATCTTATCAGTTTTTCAAAAAAATAGTAACTTTTTTCAATAAATTTTATAAAATTTAGTCAAATGTGCTTATATTCATATAAATCAGAAAAAAAATTAAATCTTAGATATATAAAAAGAACATCGTTGAAATAACTTGAATCCGCAAGGGTAATTCTATACTCATGATCAATTACTTTAAATTTTTTGTTTATATAAAAAATTAATATTATATTTACTCATTTATATTTAGATGGTATTTTTTTTTATTAAGAAGCAAGGACAATCTCTATCAATTAATAAGAGTCAAGGACAAACAATATAAAGAAGTGTTTCCTATGCTATGACATGATCAATAAGAGTCAAAGACAGTCTCTGTCGCACGTCGGCTTACTACTGAAGAGCTCTGCATTTAGTCATGAGCAATTATACGTGACGCTTTTTAGAGTTACGAGTCAGTGGGGTTTGAAGATTTTGATTTGAGCTGAGAGAGATTTTGACAATAGAAAAACTACGACGTTGTTTTATAAAGAAGTGTTTAAGAATATTTATATTTTTTTCTTAATTTTTTTCAATGAATTTGTTATGATTTTTACTATTGTTTATAATTTTTATTATTTTTTTATGTATCATATAATTTTCCGTGCAAATGCACGGGACAAAAACTAGTCTAACTAATTTAGCATCTCTAGCACAGTGATAAAAATATTAAATTGCTTATATCAAGACCAAAAAAATAAAACCCATAATTAATCAGAACATGGGCAAGTGGCGGTGAATTTAAAACACAAACCCATCATCACATGATCACATGAAAAACTGCTAAATAAATACAACTATCGAGAACAAGTGCACGCAACACGCTATCTTCCAACTTTTACTACTCTTAACCAACGAAAACTAGTACAGATCCCGTGCGATGCACGGGGTGTACAAAATTAAGGTTATTTATCAAGTTTTATAATTATATAAATGAATAAAAAAAAATGTACAGGATATATATAGTACCTGACCTGTAATAGGCCAAAATGTGAACACGGGTGATGCACGTGGTGCACAATTTTAAGGTCATTTATTAGTACAGAGTCCATGCGATGCACGGGGTGCACAATTTTCTAGTATGTGTAATACAAATACATACCGTATGCACGGGCCAGAAGCACTAAATGAGTTATTTCCACATAGCTTGCCGGTTAAGTAGCTCCTGAACACGGGTGCACAATTTGTAGTACGTAATATAAAATCAGAACAGATTTTCATACAATTAGATAATAAATAAAGCCTTTTTATTTTAATAAAGATTTTACGTACTTTTTTTTACTTATCGGATGTTATGGGATTTTTTTTGTTAAACCGATTTTATCGGATATGATACAAATACAGTTAGAGGATTACACAAAATCAGAACAGATTTCTATACAATTAGATAATAAGAATGAATTAGATAAGGAAAAAAAGAAATTAGATAAAGAATTTTGAATCTACCTTTTTTTAGTATAGATAAACTTTACGTACAAATTTTGACTTCACCGATTTTATAAGATTTGTTTTGACAAAATCAAAGATGAATACTGAAGACTGTTTTTATTAACATTTACAATGTGTATTTAATGTTTTTTTTGGCAAAATATTCTTTTTAAGTGTGATATATAAATATTAAAAATACTTAAAATATTTAAAAATACTTAAAATATTTTGTAACATCTATAAAAGCATCTAAAATATTCTATATTATTCACAAATAATGTTTGAAGCTACCTAAATTTTTCTAAACTACCCGTAAGGAAAATATGTCTAAAAATTCTTCATTTAACTTTCATATATGTATATATATAGAGGGAGAGAGCAAACGTGTAAAAAAAAATTATACAAATAATATTTAAAAGTATCTAAAATATTAGTAATGAGACAGGTGAAATTTACATTTTTAAAACATCTATAGAGATAATGGATTTATAGTAGTAGTTAGACTTTTATTTATTTACGTTTAAAGTTGTTACGATAGATGAGGGATGTGATTTTTTTTACTCGTGGAGATGGAATTTTATAAGCTAGGTTATGAAATTTTCTTAAACTCGTCCATGCGATGAGTTTTTTAAGCTGGGTATATAGATTTAAAATTGTAAAAAAAAAAACTTTCATAAATCATTTGATTTGGTATTTTCGGAGAGCTTCATTAATTTAAAAGTGTAAAATAAGTAAATAAAAAATGTACAACTGAAAAAGTTACAACCAATTGTATAGAGAATTAAACTAAATCCAATTTTGTAGGATGCATTAAATATTGATTAAATTTTATATGTAAAATAAAATAAAAAAATAACTGGAATAGTTGTAAGTGTTGCAATATTTTATATTTAAAAAAAATAAAAAATCTTCATTTACGTATTGCATACCTACATTTTAGGAACTACATAGATATTCCTAAATTAATATTGCATACCCAATATTTTAGGAACTAATTAAATGCTAATTTGATTTGCATACCAAAAATATTAGATGCATTAATTAAATGATTGATAAAAATAGCAAATCATTAATTAAGGTTAACTATTCTACATACTACATTTAATAAATAGTACCCCCTTTAATATAAGTATAGATATAACAATACTTAAAGTCAATAAATATATAAATAGCTATATTAGTTTATGATTGGTGCGCAGTTGCTCACTAAATCACTAAATTAACCGATCACTATATCATATTAAAAAAACCATTAAATATCGTAAAGTATTGATTTTTTTACGTACCCCACTAAAACATCTAATGTTTAACTGTTTAAAAGAAACTGACGGTTTGGTTAATTGTTAATAATTTCCTTAAATATAAATAATTTAAAGGGACTCATAATTTAAAATTTACGAAATGAGTTACCTCTTTATATTAGTAATAGTTTATTTCATATGAAATACTAAACTTCATTTCTCTACTAATACTAATATTATACACAATTCATTTTGTCACAAATTTAAAACATATACATTAAAAAAAAACCAATACGTCTTCTAATAAAATAAAAATAAAAATAAAAATGTTATTGTATTTAAGATGTATAATTGTGTCATACTAAAATCACTTATCTTAAGAAAACTAATGGATTATTTAAGTAATTATCTTGGCAACTGCAGAGCAACACGTATTTGATAAAACAATTTTCTATTTTATGTAGTCAAGCGATCAAAAAAAAAAAAAGAAAAACAGAATAACTGAACTTGGTTTTCAAAAATAATAATAATGATAATAAAATAAATATTAACACGTGTCCATGAAGTGGCTTTCCCAAAATAGAAAGTATGTAGTAGGTCCCACTAACAAAACTTACTATATTTAGAATGAGTTGTCTAATTATATAGTAAATAGATTCACAAGACGCAAACGGCAAAACAGAAGAAGCGTTTTTCACGACTTCACAATTCTCAGTTGGGTACTCCTTGGGAAAAGCGTGCCCTAATAAAGATTCTTGATTTTAACGACTTTAGTTGTGTAAACAAGCCAAGGGTCAAGACAGGTCAAACAACTAAAAAACAAAAACTTTGACGCACTATCTCTAACAAAAAGCACTTGAAAATGAGAATTGTTCAAATGGCGTCGGTCCATATGGTCGGTACTCAAACCCAAACGACTACAGTGTGAATTTGCTAAATGTATACATAGTCAAATATTCACCACAAGAAATTGCGGTAACGCCCCTCAACTTTCGAGGTTGTTACAAAGAGCTCCTAAAGAAATTAAAGCATGAGCGTACTCATGCTTAAACAGAACAAACCTTGGGGCTCTATCTGCAATTTGGAACGAACTTCAGGTTTTTTCATAACTAACCAAAACCTGAGGGGTGCTCTTTGCAATTAATGCGTTTCAATTCTATTCAAATTCACCACAGTACAAGGAGTACACTTAAGACAATCAGTTACGATTTACATCATCGACTTTCTCAAATCTCAATTACCAGAAAAACATGATAATTTTTCATATATCCCTATGCGGAAATATAAAAAAAAACCATGGTCGAAATGGTAGATGTCACATGTTCTCTGATGCAACATACAATGCAAAGAAAAAGGAACAATCAAATACTATTGCTCAGCCAAAACAGTCTGTATATAACACAGAAGGTTCATCTATCATTTGTTAGCCATAAAATGGGTACAAAGTCAATATAAGGACCATTGATTTATATAACCCCAAGCCAAACCCATGTCCCGCGGCATCCACAGTAAATTGAATAAACAGATAATATCAGAATAAGAGATACAACTGACTTGGACAAATTTAATGGCAGAAACAAGAGAAAACGGAATTTACTACAGATAAATTGGGAGCTTTTGCGGCGAAATTTAAGCATCCCAAACTCATGCAATTTCATAAGATTTCTCTTTGTGGAACATAACTTCTGGCTGCCATTATTTGTCATCTTCCTGTGGACACAGATCAGAATCAAAAAAATTATCAAGGAGTAGGGATGACCAACAACAAACTCAACACTGAGTACTATGAGCCACTGAAATTCAATTGCAATAATCAAGAGAAAAACGAGAGGCAACAGCACAAGAGAAATACAACTCTCTTACCAAGTTATAATTTATCAAAATCATCATCAAAGCCATTGTCGCCATCATCTGGAAAATGAAATAGCAAAAAGGGTAAAAAAACTATCATTAGAACGGCATAGGAGTATGGGTTTAGGTGCTTCTAAATCAATATCGAACAAGAGCCTTTATTTTCCTTAGGAAAACTAATTGACCAAGGTACAGTACATTCAAGGGTGCATAGTTTAATAAACCTCATTGATTACTAAGCTTTAAGAGTGAGAATCCTACAGTTGATATAGGCATACTGCTTGAACATGCATCCTAAGTAAAACACTCTGGAATCTGGATATTTTACTCTGTGGTTGTTTTGCATGACAAAAACTAAAAAATAGGCACCATTTCCATATTTGTGCCACCCAAATCTTAAAAAATAAAGTTCCCAAATTGAATGCCACATAAGCATTTTGTGCCACCCACTCGGTAATTCCAAGAGAATAGGGACCATGTGTGCCTCTTCTGGGAAATAAATTATGTAATTTTTGAAAAAGAAAATGTAAATAAATAAATATTTAAATAAATAAATATAGAAAGAAAATCATTACAGGAGGATCACTTTTTGCCACTTACCTAGCAAATAATAATCCCGACAAACAATTGGCCATGTGAAAGACAATTCACAAAGTGTAGAGGAATGACAGAGTAAAAGTTAGGGACAAACTTCTAGTGGTTTAAAATGTACCTGGACCATCATCTCCATCATCCAGATCTCCCAGAAGAAAAACGTCCAAATCCTGCTCAGAAACTGGGGACTTCTGAGTACTGCTCTTCTGTTTTGAACCCTCATCTGTTTTTGAAGGAGTTGCACCTGATGAAACTTCCTTTACCTCATTATCTTTTACCTTTTCAGTAGCTTTGAGCTTTAGATCTTCATTATAACGGTGTTCATATCTGCGAAAATTGATAGGTTTAGATCCAAGCGAGCCTATTAACAAGCCACAAGAGAAGCATACTGACTCGGTGATATGCATATAAATAGTTAGAGATACAGAAGCCAAATTGATTAGTAATATATAAAGTCATCTGTCTCACAAGGGCAATAAATCCACCAAACTGTCAATCAAAAACAAAACTTCTTCATGAAATAAGCATTGTTAGGCAAGAGATAATGAAGATCTTTCTCATAAGAACATAAAACTGTAACATCAAAACCACATAATTATAGCAAGTAGAGAAACCAGTCTCACATTTATCATCTGATTTCTCGTAACCAGGGTATGTAAATGAAGTCCTAAAATGCTAATACAGAAAATCAATAATGATTAGGAGACTCGGTTTATTTGAAATGATCTGAAAAATCAGTTCAGAAGACCACATTATGATTTGGTAATAAATAACACAAAATACTCATTCACTGAAAATCTTAGAACTTCTTCCCAAGCACTGAAAACCTTAAACCATTCGTGGGGAAGTTACTTACGGTGCCACATGACTATTAACTAGAATGAAGTAGATCCTCCAGAATTTCCGCTCTTTCATCACTCGTGGACATAACTGATATCTTAGCTTTGAGATGTCCTGAGAGATAAACAATATCGAGGTTATTAGTTGTCTCAAGTCTGATTCTACAACTTCTAAGTCACTGCATATTTATTTTTACTTGGAAAAACTTATAAGATGGGCCAGCACCCAGCAGGCTCTTCCTCTCACTCTCCTTTGCAGGACTATCTTAAAATTTATAGAAAGTACTTTAAGTACATCAATATAATAATTTGACGAAAAAACACCGTCTCATGGTTACAGCGATGCAGGTGACATATGACACAGATATTATTGAAATCTTTAGATAATTTCATTTTATTAAAAGAACAGAAAATTGAGTGACTGTCGAATCATTCACATTCTACTATTCTTTTTATTATTGCCTTCTAAATTTTGTACAGTTTGAATAAATACGCACAATTCTGGAAAAGAACAACCTAACCTTCACTGTTAAGAGAACAAGCTTTGCATGCCTTTCTTGCCACTCGGTAAGATCCTGTCGCACATTTGAAACCGTAGGAACATCAGACATCTCTGCATCGTCTGCACATTAACGATGGTTGGTATAAGTTTTTTTGCATAAGTTGAAATGCATGGTTACAAAAATGGAATACACATTTGGGTTTAAGAATATTTTGGTTTAAATTAACTATGCGAAACAACATCAGTATTGCAGCCTGAAAAATACAAAAGGTAAATAAATAAATAAAAAGGAAAAGAAAAATGAAAACAAACAACAACACTTTCATAATATCAACGGTCAATGTTGCTTTTTTCCCCATTTTTGGAGAACTATGTGATAATGTTAATATAATATCACACAATTAATGAATGTAACAGGCAAATGCGATATAAGATCGTGAATGTGGTTTCACCAGCGTCACCCAGTCTTCTCCTCTCTAGATGGATTTCAGCCTCAAAATTTCTTCTGCCCGGATTTATTATTGTAATGTTGCCCTTCGTTTTTCATATTACTCCTTACACAAAAAGAAAACATCAGACATTTTTCTATTTTAAAAATTGAGTTGCCGCACCATTAAAATTCACAAAGCTTGTTCTACAACATCAATATGTATACACCTATATGAGAGTAATTTAGACAACCTCATATTCTAAGCCAAACGAGGTGCATGAGTAGAACTATGACACTTTTTCTTTTTTTAAATAAGAAGATTTTATTACAAAGCACTTTCCTATTCTCAAATGCCTTTCTGCCAGTTGCTAGTTAAATTCTCATGATTGGATTCGAAAGTCTACCCATTATACTGACAATCAACAGGGTGACCCACACTGGGTAACATCAAGCTACACGTGAAAACTGTCTACCTCCTTGATCCAAACAAAGTTATTTTCCAATTATTCTTTAATCAAGGGTTGATTGCCCGAATGCAAGAGTCTTTTTCCAACAAAAAGAACTGCCTCTTTCTTGTTGTTTTTCCTTGTTAATCCCAAACTGCCCATTTCAGACATCTACATTTTGTCTCATCAGTTGAATTAAACCTTTCATTTCCCCCCACAAATGCTCTTCCATTACCATCATTACTTGCTTCTCAACCCTTAAACAACAAGATTCATAGTTTTCACCTGAACCAACAGTAACCTTTATACCAATGCAGCTCATAGGCTAGGCCTTTAGAATGTACTAGCAAGCCACTACCTGTTCTTTTCACTGTACCAATATAGATGTTTATATAAAATTCATCAAAATGGAAACTATAGAAGCTACACCTTCAACCAGGCATATCAATCAATACAAGCATGAAATGCATAACAAACAAAATTACAAACTAAAAAGTTCTCTCCCGATTTGGTCAATTTCGGGAAAAAAACCACATTCATCAAACACAGAAACAATGCACCCACCAAAAAAGCATATATACAAAGAAGAAAATAAAGTTCAAGCACTAGGACAACACCTTCAAGCGGGAAATCCCGGAACGTATTCATGGTGATCTCCTTGACAAACTCCCTCAGCTCATCAGCCACCCCGTACATCTCCAGATCGGCGGCCTCGACGCCGCCGCTCTGGGAGGCGGACGAGTCGACGAGACCGGACAGAGCGGCGGCGGCGGTGGCGGCGGGCGGGATGTGAGCCGTGATCTGATCAGCGCGCTTGAGGGCCTCGGCCGCGAGCTCCTTGGATTTCTTGGAGGCCTCGGCGGCAAGCTCCTTCGAGCGCTTGGAGGCCTCGGAGACGACGTCGGCGAGGTTGGCGGAGGCGATGCCCTGGGTGAGCTCCTGCGATTTCTTGGCGGCATCCTCGGCGAAGCTGCGGGCCCTCTGCCAGAAATCCATCGCGCGTTTGGGAATCAGACGAAAATCGGACTAACTATTATTGGTTGGGTGGAAATTGGATATACTTTCAATTTACAGTTTTATTAGAGTTAAAAAAAAAATCGTTATTTGTAATTTTCATAGTTTTTAAACCCGGCCCCGGTGATCGACTCGGGCACGTCCTCGAGTCACCAAGTTACCGGTTCAACCGTCGGGTCAATTCCTGAACCGAATAATTAATTTTAAATTTTTAAAATTATATATATGGTATTTTTGTTATATAAATATACATAAAAGTAACAAAATTTAATGTTTTGTGTATAAAATTTGAATATTAAAGAGTTAATAATATGTATCTCATGATAAATATTTACCATAAAAATATATATACATAGTTTTATTTTTAAAAATAAAAAAAATATAAAAAAATATAAAAAATATATATGGAGTTGACCCGGCCGGGTCAACCAATGCCTCGGGTCGACCGGGTCTCGGCCGTGTTTTGACCGAGTTTGACCGGGTCCTTGGTTGCCCGGTCCAAATACTCCACCCGGACCGGTTCCAGCTCCGAGTTGACCCGCCGGGCCGGTCCGAGTCACAAAACAGTGGTAATTTTACATTTTTAGTGAATGTTTGAAAGCACTTTTGAAATTGAATACTGACTATAAAAATTCATTTCTTAAATAAAAAAATGTTTAGTGTAAATAGCAAAATAGAATTTTGAAAAAACAAGTCCCACAAAAAATCAATTTCAATGAAATTTATGTCGACACTTATTAAGATTAATTCCATGTCCTCAAGGATGACACCCATTCTCACTGAAAGCCAATGAATGCTTGCCAAGTGTCTATTTGGTTAATTTGATTTTTGCCTTTTTCTTTTTGGGCTTTTCATAATCTTGTCAAGGTGAATTATATTTTTTCATTGTTTTTGTTATTTACAATAACCAACCATGATTTTTGAGAAAAAGACTGCAGTCAGATACTGTACACATATACATTAGTATAAGATAGAGAATCTACGGATAAAAACTCATATAGAATGGTTACTTAACAAAACTGTAGTGAAAAAAATCTTTCTAATGCTCAATTATGAAAAAACCGTTTTCGAATCAACTCGTCTAATTAGTAACGTTCACTTAAAATTCACGCAGCTCGCCCCTAAATTCATTTTTGTTGGTAGGTGAAAGCTGCAAATTTACATCAGCTNTCAAATTATGAATTTATGACATTTACATTTGGAAATATCATGAAAAGCCATGTCATTAAGTTTGCCTAACACAGAAATAGTTATAATTATGGTAGGAATATTGAGGAGATAAAAGAAGAAAAACGAGATTTATAGTAGTTTTTAACTGGTGAAAAAAAAAAGTGTTGGATGTATCCAATCTCGCGCATACTACATCACTTTTCCTTCACTAAAATATTCCTCACAAAATAGCGAAAAAGTTCTAATCTAATGCTAACACCCCTAAAATGTAATCGTTTTTCTTTCTTCCCAATACCAAAATGCAAGAAAAAAAAATGTGATAAAAATTATTCCCCCAGCACAACAAAAGCATCACCATCATCATATCTATATAACATAACATCAGCTCGTAACACAATCCTGCAAATATCTATGCCCACGGTTAACATACTGTTCCCACAGAGCCCTATACCTGCCTATACTCACCTTCAGCCATGGCTTCATATTCCCATTATAGTGAACAACAGCAGCTGTCTCTATCAACCGGTTATCGATATTCAGATCATAACCCAACCCCAAAACGTGCCATCTCCGGTCAAGCGGTTCAGTCAGCCCGTAAAAAGCCAGAAGTCCCGGAGGAAGTGTCCCGAGCGCCCAAATTGATCTGTCTTTATTCTGCTCCATCCAAAAGTGATATCTCGAAGTCACGTTTTGTCTCCTCCAAGCAATCAAATCGAACACGTTCATGCCGAAAGCCCACCCGCAAGCCTGAGGGTCGAATTTCGTGCTTATGAGCGGATTCGAAAAGTTGAGGTATTTGTAGTAACGGTGAAAAGCCTCGAGGCAAGTCTCGACTGCCCCGTTCACATTCCCGTGCAAGTCGAGCGAGAAAAGCGGGATCAAGTCCTTCTGAACCACAACATCGTCGTCTAGAAAAATTACCTTCTCTAACTGCGGGTAAATTTCGGGGACGTAAAAACGGAGGTGGTTCAGAAGGGAGATGTATTTCGGGTTGTGGAATTTCGGATTGTCCTCCGAGCTCTCGAAATAGTACTTTCTCGAATCTGAGTCGAGCAGCTGTTTTATTGCGGGAGAATAGGACGCGCTCAGCCAGGCGAATTCTTCTATGTTTTGAACTTCAATAGTGGCGCCTTTGAAATCGTTCGTGAGAAACCAAGCCTGCATGGCTCCGTATTTGACGCCATTTGTCACGACGTGAAAAACGAGCTGTTTCGGGTGCTCGGCGTTAGAAACGGTCGAGTTGACGACAACCGAGACAGCTAGTGGATTATCGGAAAATATGCAGAAATGATAGAGATTATTGTCCACTAGCCGAGGAGAATTTTTACTCTCGTCGGCAAGAAGCTGTAGTGATTTGTTCTGAAGCCAGTCGGCCGTTAGCTTAATGTTGATACACTCGAGATTCTTGGGGATTGACTCGGCAGCTAATTGACCGAAAACCGTACCTTGAATGGTGGCCGTGTTTGCCCGTTCTTCCAGGGCTTGTATGTGGGACTTCATGGTCATGATTGTGGTTGCAATGTCGTAATGGGCTTCTTGGGCCTTGAAAATAAGGGAAGATAGGCTTTTGATTATGGGCTCAGCTTCTTCCAGAGATATGGGCTCGTCCCGCATGGCGGCCTTGGAGAGCAACAGCTGGCAACTTCTTATTCGTGAGCTCAGCTCCCAAGCGAGATGGAGATTGTTGTGCTCTTTCGCGATTATGACGTAGGCTTTGGCGAGAGTCATTTGTTCGGCTAGCTGTCTGGCGTATGATCTGGCGTTTAGTATTTGTTCGGTGAAATTACGGTTTTCATGGGTAAGTCGGTCGTTTCTGGAATTTATCTCCTGATATAAATTATGAAAATAATAAAATCAAATGAGTCGAACGTTTAAATCGTAAGGTGAAACCATCAAGTGTAGCAGTATGCAAATATCAGGTACTTTCAAACAGAAAAAATGTTAAAAGCAGAAGGTAGAGGCTATAGAACTTCACCATCTGATAAAATATAAATAAGTGAACTGAACTGAGCCCTCTCAACTTATTAGGTTATTCAGACAAGCCTACTCGTGTTTGTTCTTCCTTTTCGACAGTAGTAACTAGAGTGAGATTCATCAAAATCGCAATTAACTTTTAGGATTGGGTCGGTTCAATTGTTCACTAGAAAAGTTCAGGGCTCCGTATAAAACGATAAACAAATGGGTGGAACTAGGGTCTACTGCTTCAGCAGTTAAATAAAACATGTAATAAACCCATCACCATAAGCCTACAATTTACCCAAGATAAGCCTTACAATTGAGAAGTAAGAATACTAAAAAATAAAAAGTATAATTGAAGTATTTCATGAAGAAATAATAGGTTTTAGCCTTTTAGGTCACCCAAAGAGTGAAAGATGAAGAACCAAAATATATTTGCATATTATTTCTGCAAGCAGCCATTTTACCAAGACATATTTGCATATTATTTCTGTTTGGGGAAGTGATTGAGGTTGAATTTAAAGGAAGAGCAACTGCATAGAAGATCTTAACAATGTCCATCTCATGATTATACCCGAAATTGCCCATTGAAATTCTTTTTAGGGGAACAACATCAACGAGAGCAACTACCACTTTGCGTTTCCACTCTCATGAAGGTCCCGCTTTCGAGTACCGATAAGAATCACTGCCCTCATAGTGCACCTAACATTTAATTTGAAGTTAAAGTAACATCTAATTTTCTTTTTGTCCATATTATTCCACTTGAAATGGCAAAGTGAGCTGATACCCCTGTCACTGCCAAATGTCACATTAATATACTTGGGAGGTCAAGTGGTTCTAAAAATTAATTCACTGGAACTATTCTTCAAATTAGAACAACATTCACCTACACGGTTGATCAACTCTAAGAACTTTGGTACCTCTCGATAGATTTGTGTGAACTTTGTTCATGAAAGTTACCTAACTTAATAGAGCTAGAAGCAACATTAGCATATAGCACCTTGAAGTTATGGCTTGTGATTCCAAATATTGACAAAGCCTATGCATCTATGCAAACAACCAACGATTGGCATGCAGCCGTTGTGCTGTAAACAACTTACCCATTTACTTTCATACAACTAAAAGTCATCCGCATGATGCCAAACATCAATTGAACATCCCAGAGGCATTCACACATTACGAGAGCAAAATCTTTACTTTGTGATTGGGCTTCACACTAGTCCAATTCTATATTCATCAAGCCAAACTCATTTTGAAAATTGTTGAAGAATGAGGAAGAAAGGACAACGCCCTATTAGTTCTCATCATCAAATTTCAGCTATTCATAATGGTTAAGTAGTTACCACTGACACAAGTTTTTACCAGATTCAAATATGATCTTCTATGGTATGGTTGGTTACAAGGACAGACCCACGAACAATTTCTATCAAGAACCAATTATTAATCTCCATGAGGTTGAACTTCCCACAGAGAAACAGAATACATTTTTCTTGAAAAAACAATAAAAGGGGCGCTTGAGATAACTTTAACAGATTGCAAAAGGACAAAAACAACCCAGATTATGAACAACTTCAACGAGCCCAGATCCCAAATACTCATCTTGTTTATTTTGAAAGCGTAGAAATATTTCCATGTTGTTCAATAATCAAGAGAACTTATTTGGTCAAAGTGGAATCACACAGACAACAGCGGAACATATTCATTTAAAAAAAGAAGGCAAAAAGCATCATGTTCATGTCACTTGCAGTCTTACCAAAACGGGCTGTTCCACACGATCCTCATCTCGATGGTTATGATGAACAGCAAACAGAACAAAAGCCGCAACCGAGAACAAGAATAGAAGCGCCCAGATCCAGCATGAGAATCTCCGTCTTACCGGGCGCCGAAACTCGGTCGCCCGCCGCCGCATCTTCCGAACCTAATCTTCAACAGTTCGAGTGTCGAATCAACAATCCAACAACGCCTATCAATCAACCAATCGGTTTTCCGGGCAGACAAACGTAAGAAATACAAAAAACCCACCCCCAAATTAAAAAATCTCGAACAATCACCACCAATCGCGCGAACCCAGTCAGCAGCTCCGAGAAGAGAACCGACACATGAAAAGCTCGATCAAGATCGACGGCAGTAGGTTGGGAAAATCCGGGCAAATTCAATGTGGGTCGCCTCAAGATTCCATTCAAAGGGCAAAAATCAACGTGTAATGAGTGAATTAGGTATGGGAATGTGTGAAAGCTCTCTCTCCCAATCAGCCCACACATGAAAAATGTCAGCTTTGGAGTTGAGGAATTTGAGGAGTGTGACTGTGTGAGCTTGGGCTTTTTTACCTTTATTCTCATCTGCTAACAGAGCTATTTAGCTTATAATTAACTACTAATAATTATCATTTCAGATTAATTGAATCAAAAATAAAAAAGTACTACAACATACAGATCTGAATTTGTTATCTATATAAGTAAAGTGTATCATTTCTTCATTAAAATCTTTCCTAAGTTTAAAATTTTGCAATTTGTTACTCACAATGTGTTTAGTTTATGAAAAACATGTTTAAGATGGTGCGAACTTGAGAATGGTGCCTTACTGGCTACTGCCTTAGATGGATCCATCCAAGTCGAACATACAATGTGTTAACCACCGACACCATGATTTCAAAATTGCTACTTCTATTAGTTTGATGTGTGTGTATATATGCTAATGAGAAATTGGCAAAATTGTTTCTTTTGGTTATGTAAATGACCATATATTAGATTTAGACACGTTTCCAATTACAATAATCTAAAACCGCAATCCGAATTTGCTAGTTCTGATTCCTAGTTGATTCATGAACTAACGACTTGTAAGGAAATTTGTCCCGCGACGATTTTACAGTTTAATTTTTCGGAAGTGAAAGACTTATAATAAAATCTGAAAACAATTTTAGTTTGAATGAGAATTAATTTTATAGTTGAAATGTGGAGAATTCAAGTTTATACAACTCAAAATTGAGTTTAATAAAATAACTCAAAGATATAGAATTCGCAAACGTTTTGTATTGAAGGAATGTTTGGACAAGTCAAACGAGACATAATCATGCAGTATGCATGCTAGAACTCTAGAAGGACTCGTTGGGGACGAGTAGGAAAATATGGAATACAATTTCGAGTCTGGATAAGCGTTTACGAGCTCCCGACGTGCACCAGGCTTTGTTGCGAGCAAAAATTACTTGTAGTTACATAGACCCCCATTATAAGTTCAGTCCATATTCTGATCACCCCTCATACTTTATACGATTTTGTTTCATTGGAATTGAGATAATACTCACCATTTTAACGACTCTATTCATACATGGAGCCGGCTGATCACTAACTAATCGAAGCTTCTGGACCTTAGCTCCATCGGCTAACTAATCCAAATAATCACTAACTAATAATCTAATATATTTGAAAATAATAACTTTTGGACCTTAGCTCCATAAGCTTCTCTTAAAGAGCATCTTAATATATGCTAATCTAGCAGTTAAAAAACAAGGTAATTTTTACTTGTACCAGTTTATTAAATTTTAAAATGTACTTAACCTACATCAATCAGATGCAATAGTAAAATAGCCACTGGATTTTACTGTCTGCAACAGCTAATGCTCAACAATTTCTTCTGAACTGAAACTCATTTTTGTTCAATACCATTACAAAATCTAGAGAAAAATACCAAAGCCACTAGATAATCAACAAAATCAATCAGTTTAAAAGTTAAAGACTACATGTTTAACTGAATCCGCTCTATTTATTTACTTCACAAATCAGCTCTTTTTATTTACTTCACAGTAACTATACAATCTTCTAGTCAAACACTGAAGGGCCAAACGAACCTTACATAATAGTCAACAAACCATGAATACGACAAGCCAAACAAGCAAGCCTCGGGACTGAAATCCACACCGGCAAACCATCAAAAACTGTAAACACATTGAATCACAAGACAATCAACCATAAACACAAAATCCAACAATACAGCGAGGAAAATATATTAACATAATCACAAGTAAAGGGTGATTTTTTGAAATTTTCCAGCTAGTCAAGCCCGATCATCTTCGGGTAGACTTTAATGAGTGATCACAAAACTCATCTTTCACCATCTGTTGACGACAAACATTCAGTCCCGTTTTTGATCAGGTTCAAAGTATGTTGCTGCAAAATCACAATCATCAGATTACGACATTATACAGAGGAAAGGATATCTTTGGAAGGACATGACTTATGATACAGGAAAGCATATCTCATAATATCCATATATGGAGTCAAAATACTTATATTAGACCAGAGACATGTTGCTGAGATTGAGACATCAATGGAAGAAAAGGTGCACAAATAATTGATGCTATATTTGTGATCAAGTGAACAATTAAGCTCAAAAGTGTGCTAGGCAACAAAAACACAGAACTGACAAATTATGCATTATTATGCATACGTACTAAACTTAAAGCAAATACAAAAAACATTTTCTTTTCTTGTTGTCTTTTCTTAGAAGGTACTGAAGTCTGTGGTGGAAAAGTTTCAGTTCTTACCAAACCTGAACCTGGAAATTTTCGCTTGTCAGGCTCTCTAATTCGTTCTTCTGCCAGATTTGAGCCTGAACTCGGAGGCCCACATTCCCTAGTTCCTCTTGTTCATCTAGAATGTTCTTAGCCGAAATAACAGCGGAGTCACTGCAAAGTTCCAACCTAATAACTCGAAGTGTGGGTATGTGTCCAATATCCATAGGTATCTCGTTCAAGCTCGTCAACATCTGAAGCACGAGGCACTCGAGCCGCGGGAAATGTGTCCTCTCTGCATTCCAGTTTACGAGATCTTTGCACCACGCTACTTGCAAGAACTTCAGGCAGAGGAATTCGCCCTCCACTGGATTCCAGTCGGGCCCCACAAAAGATTCGAGCTCCAATTTGAGAACCTCAAGATTGGGTAAGGAGCCAATCAATGGCATATCCTCCCAGAAAAGCCCACATCCGTGTAGGGTCAACTTCTTGAGCGAAATCGGAAAGGAAAGATTCTTTAGTAACAAACCTCGACTGACCTTATAGTGTTGAAAGAAGAGAGTTAGTGATCTCAGTTTAAGCGAACGGCCGAGATTGTCGAGACAGTAATAAGGCCATTCTTTATATCTCCCGTATCTGGCGTAAGTAATTCTCAGTTTTGTAATGTTTGGGATTTTCTTAACAACCTCCTGACTAAACCTGAAATTTCCTACATCAACCAGAGTTTGCAAGTTTGATAAGACGAGATTATCACCTTTATCCATATTACCAGATGGTGGATCAGGGAGAAGAATAACATCGAACTTTATATGCCTAAGTTGTGTCATGTTCCAAATTTCAGGAGGGGCAATCGTGGTACCCCAAGTTCCCTTCACAACTAGCGTCTGCAAATTCTTCAGGAGGAACATGGAAGAAGGAAACTGGGAATTCAATTTCCATTCGGTTCTAAAGGCAAGGTACCGTGAGTTCACAAACTGAAAAGCAACACCTAACAGGTTCATATCTTCTTCTTCTTCTTCTTTTTTGGGTTTATGGGAATATTCGTTGACCATTTTCAGAACCCTCAATAATTTGAAGGCAAATGGTGGCAAGACCTGGTCAAAATTGCATATCAGTGTACGGGCGAGTGATGCCGATTGCAAGGCATGAATTACTTCACTGCCATATTTATCCTCAGACATGCTTTGGTTGATTACAACTCGGCGTGCATTATTCATAGTCATACCTTGTGGAACATCATCAAGACTGTGCACCCTCATCACGGAGAAAAACTTCTCCTTTTGAGCCTCCCTCAGGCATAGCTCCCTAAAGAGATCATGAATGTTGCAAGATTTTACTTTTCCGCTGGAGCCCCACTCACAAACCAAAACAACATTCCTCTCTATAAGTTCATGCAGAAAGTCTTCAGCAGTTTCCTCCATGCTTTTATGTCTAGTTAGTTCAACAAATCCCTCGGCAACCCAGAGTTTGGTCAACTCAGACACACGAATCTCGTGATCTTCCGGAAATACCCCTATATAGAGGAAACACGGTTTCAGATGAACAGGTAGCTGGATATAGCTTAAAGATAACACCTTCAAGCAATGCTCATAATCATCTGAATGGGGAAATGAGCTTACACCTTCTGCAATATGCCCCCAGTATTCTAATGATTTATCGGTCCTCGCCAGAAGTCCAGCTGTCACAACAATCGACAGAGGAAGCCCTTTGCAATTTTCGACAATCTTCTTCCCGATTTGCTCCAACTCAAGAGGACAGAGCTCTCGTCCAAATACTTTATCACAAAGCAAATCCCAACTATTCTCCAAATTAAGAAGTTTCATGTGGAAGCTACTAGAGCTAACATAAGTTCCCACACTTGATAGCCTAGTGGTTACCACAATTCGACTTCGACTGTTGTTATCGGGAAAGAACATCTTTATGCGATCCCAAACATCCGTGCTCCACAGGTCATCCATGACAATCAAATATCTCCTGCCCGATAAACTTTTATGAAGTTGCAATCCTAAATCCTCTTTGCTTTTCCCACCCATTTTTGCACAAAAATCGATTAAATCTTCGTTCGGCCCCTGTTTCCTTTGGCAGAAAAGAATTCTCAAAAGAATGTCCCTCAGATTATACTCTTGAGATACTGTGGCCCAAGCACGCGTGTCAAAGTGTTGCACGATAAGCGGGTGGTCGTATACATTTTTAGCAAGAGTGGTCTTACCGATGCCACCCATTCCCACTATAGGGACAATTTGTCGAGCAGGTTGCGTGCCTGCGAGTATTTCCAAAATTTGAATAAGCTCACCATCAAAACCCACCATTTTATTCCCGTCATCAAGAAACGACCTTGATGAGCTAGCAGGAGTTGAGTTTCTGGGCAGCGTTTCTTTGATTCCGTATTTAATTTTATCCTTCATTTTGATCGCCTCTTTCGTGATAAAGTTCAGGTCTTTGATAATTTTTTCGAGACCTTGGTGGAAAAAAATGGAACCATCGTCATCATCGAGCTGACCTGTGGACCCAGCAAGAGTTCGATCCACGAAATGGGACTCGATGGCATCTTCTGCTGCGCTGGCAGCATCTGCTATTTGATTGTCGAAGCCTTCTTCGCCATTGATGCCCCCTAGGAGAAATTCCAGCAAGAAGCTGACTATTTCTTGCAGGGTCTCTAACCTTTGTCGCTCTAGACAGTTGAGATGGTGGTCGTGGCGCAGAGTCTGATCGATCGTGTGCATAAGAGAGATCACAGCTGCATATGCTGCTACCATCTCTCAAGTTTCTTTACCTTTTACTCGTTCCTGCCTAACTTTCTTTTCTTCTTTCTAATTTTTTCGACTTCAAGATTTCTTCACAAATTTTGAATATTCAGAGAAATTGCTGCTTTCAGCTGCACAACTTGCCTCTGCTGTAGAATAAACCAACTAGCGATTTATTAAACGCAATTGACTCTGACTGTGAGATCGGCTCCTCGGATCTTGTTAATAAGCCACATTCCAACTCATTTAAAATCAAACTTTATTTCGTTGAGAACCGGAATAGAACATTTTATGTGATTTTCTAAACTTTTTAAACCTTTAGTTCAACTATGCATGAATGTCATTTTTATCCCTGGAAATGCAGTTAATGTCACGGTAGGGTCTTATGGGTGCTGAAGGGTCTTATGGGTGCTGAAAAACCTTGTCAGCACTCGGTGAACATAGTCCAAAATCTTCATATTTTGCTGTCAGGCAACTGATTATGAAACTTGCCCTAGTTTTTACAATTATGGGTTCATATAAAACAGTGTCGCCGTGAAGTAGTGCGAATTATGATGAAACTTTCCCTAGTTGTTACAGTTATGTTTTTAATTTTGATATATTGACACAATTCTTAATGTAATAGACTTATCTTATTATATTAATAAAAAATAATATTACAGAAAGTAACATGGAATTTCTTCACAAAATTATCCAAAAGCTACAAAAGCCAAATACCAGTTATGTTTAATAGACAAATAAGCTAGCTAATAGCTTATTTGGTTAGCTTATAAGCTTCTTGTATTTAAATAAACTTCGTTTGGTAGGTTCATAAGCTTCTTTGGGTAGCTTTTCAAATAAGTTCGTTGAAATTTTTATTTCAGCTAGCTTATCAGCTAATTCTAACACTAATCGAACTATTCTCTAAAAACAGTCACAATTGTGCCAAAAACTACATTCATATATCTATAAAACCAAGACTTTTCCTCAATACATGGAAAGCTGAAATCACCTTTCAAAATAACAAGTGTACCTTTTTCGAGTGTAACATACTTGTGAAAAAAAGCCAACGCAATTTCATAATAAGCATAAAAACTCACCTATAGTATTTGCTTGCAGTAACCCCAAGATCCAATCCTCCATACTACTCAATTCCAACATACCACCAATCAATCTAAGACTTCAACTCGGCAAAACTCCGTCTGACAACCATTGCCAGCTCAACCTCCCCCACCCCAACCAAACCCTCAAACACCCTCTGCCTCACCCTTATGTAGGGTATAAAACCCCTCCCTCCCATCCTCACCGCAAACTTTCCCGCCAAAACGAACTCGCGAGCCTCCAAACAACATTCGAGAACCGACTCATACGCCTCGAACCCCACATCCACATTCTCCCCCTCAAGAAACTCCACCATCTCAACACCTCTCCACGCATCCCTATTGGCCCGAAACCTATCGGCCGCCTTCACAACTATCTCCTTCCTCGGGCTCAGCCCGTAACCCCTCACCATCTCCTTAAACATCTTCAAAACCACCCCACTACTCATCCGAAACTCGCTAATCTCCCCTATCAATGTACCGAAACTATCCAAATCCGGAGCACACCCAGCTCTCCCCATGGCCCGCACGACTTCCACAGCTTCTTCGACTTTATCGACTCTGCAGAGGGACTGAATCAGATAGTTGCACGTCCCGCAGTCAGGGGAATACCCGATCGAACGCATTTCGGTTAATATAGTTAAAGCCGTATGATTCTTGTTAAGGTCGAGCCATGCTTTGGAGAGCGTGAGATGAGTCTGAGGCGCGGGAAGGCAGCCCGAGCGGAGGGTGCGCTGTAAGACGGCGAGCCCGAGAGGCAGAGGATCTGGGCCCTCGAGAGTGAAGGAAAGGAGGTACGAGTAGGCAAGGCGTGGACGGGAGCGGGGACGAATTGGTATGAAAGACTGTAGGATTTCGTCGACTATGCTGGCCTTGTGGGCTTTGGGGAGTGCGGAAAGAAATGAAAATGGATTCGGGCTTTGGCTTTGGTGGTGGGATGAAGGCTTTGTGGCGTCGAGGATTTCGGGTATTTTGTGGTATGTTTTGGATTTGACTGCGGCCCGTAGGGATTCTTGGAGGGGGTTCGGGGAAAATGAAGAGCAAGTGGATGAAAGCTGAAGGAGATGTGTAAAAGCACGATTCGTTAAAGGGCCGCGGATAAACGAGCAAAAGCTTGCGGCTGCCATGGCCATGTTTGGACCCAGTTGTTGGGTTTCTTTAAATAGGAAATACTAATGGAAGTAAATAGGGCAAATACAGATGGAAATGTGAATTAGCCTGATATATGAGAAAAATGGTGGGGGAGTTCGTTGGGGAAAATGGTCGAACAGGTTATGTGCAATGGAGTGTTTAAGTGTAATATGTGTTTTCCAAAGCCGATTGGGCAAGAGAAGATTATACAGTGTGACTAATTATTGACTCGTCAATATTCTTGGCAATACTGTCAAGAGAGAGGTTGGTTTTTGTAAGGTGCTATACACTAAACACGTTTGCGCACACGTGTGCTTTGTGTGCTGTGTGTGCACTTTGTGTGTATGAGGGAGTGAAAAATACAAGTATGATGAGTGGATAAAAAATCAGTAAGGTGTGTGTGTGTGAGTAATTAAGGAACATGTGCTCTGCGTGTACACTGCGAGTGAAGGATGAGAGGAAATAAAATCAGAGGGTGCAAAAAGTGGTTTTGTGTGCTAGTACTTTTGTGTGCTATTTAAAAACATCACCTTCGTGAGTGACCCGGGATCATTTGTGCAAGACTTTGTGCTTTCGAATGGCCATGGCCCAGAGCTAGATTCTTTGTGATTCTTGCGGTTATTATTGTATGGAGCCTGAGCTTGAAATCCATCAACCAAGCCTCTGATTTGTCTCCAAACACGGTGATTTTGTTTTCTTACGATTTGTATTTATTTCACTAAATTATTGTTCCGTACAATTCATTTGTTGTCTACTGGTGTGGACTGATTGTTGCTGTTCGAGTTTATTTCGTTGCTGTTTGAGTCCCTTAGTTGTTGCCTAGATCAAACCGGGTGTTGTACGGGTCCATTGGGTGCTGTCAGGGACTAATTAGGTGCTGTCCGGAACTGACCGGGAGATTTCGGGCTCTACCGAACTGTGCTTTAACTATGAAGATTGATGCTACTTCAAACGGAGCTTCGATAGGCGGATACCCAACATCCAACAGTTTCTGAACGAGTAATTTAGTTGGTTATGAAGATGATCCATTTGAGTTATGGAAAGGCAAAAACAATTTTAATCACAAGGTAGCTTTTTGATGGTTGTGGAATTGGGTCATGTAAATGGATTGAAGTGTTTATTGTTTGTAGTTCCCTTGGAAATGATTTCATATAGTTACTTCTTCGATCTCAGTTAGCTTGATCAAAGCGGCTGGATCATAATTATTTTGCAATAGAACCTTGTGTTCATTATCAGTGGACGTTTGGAGTTTTGTGTGGCTCTAACATTATGGTTATATGCAAGAACTTGATGTCAATCTAATCAAATCCATAATAACACGTACATTGTGCTTTATATGATAAGGGAGCCCTCATATTTTGAGCTAATTGTTTGATTTATTGTGATGGATTTATGATTGTATTATATATGTAACTCTACATATTTCATCTGCACATCACATCCTAATGCAATTTGTATATGGTCACACTATTAGAAACATGCATCTCATTAAAGGATTATTAAGATGAATGGACTTTTCATTAACAAATTAACAAACTCAAATACAAGCACTATCCAGCACCTATTCCTAATCCACATATCCAGCACCTATTCCTAATCCACACTATCCACAAATAAGACATTTACGAGATCCATCAACACATTTACGAGATCCACAACTATTCCTAATCCACACTATCCACAAAGAAGACATTTATGAGATCCACAACAAGCCGACATGTATTAGCACATTTACGAGATCCATAACTATTCCTAATCCACACTAAGACATTTATGAGATCCACAACAAATATTAGCACATTTACGAGATCCATAACTATTCCTAATCCACACTAAGACATTTATGAGATCCACAACAAGCGGACATGTATCAGGAATATCAGCGAGTGCGGTCTCTCCTTCATATTCTTTTTCATCAATTCTATATTTGTTGTTAATTTTATTTTATATATTTTTTAATATTAAAATAGTACATATGAATAAAAATTTACCAAAAGTTTTTTTCAATATAATACAATTCTTCATTTAACAAATTTATATATAATAGAAAAAAAATGTAATAAATTATTAGACGAACAATAATTAACACAAAGAATTTATTTTAATGACTTACATTATAAACTGAAAATTTTCTTGAATCTTAGTCAATATTTTAGGAAATCCATAATATTTTAGTAAATACTTGATGTTTAGTAAATAATATAATCTTTATATAAATATTTTTGTATTATTTATATTTTGTTAATTACAAAATAATAATAATAATTGAAATAATAAAATATGTGTAAAACAATATATCTAATTAATTACATTTTTATATTAAAATAATTTAAAATAATGAGAATAAAAGAAGAAAATATTTTGTGGAGTAAAGACCAAACTTTACCATCTCTCTAGTTTCTTTACCTTTTAGTCGTTCCTACCCAGTTTCTTTTCTTCTTTCTATTTTTACGACTTCAAAATTTCTTCACAAATTTTGAATATTCAGAGAGATTGCTTCAGGCTTTCAACTGCATAACTTGCCTCTGTTGTAAGAATAAACCAACTAGATTTATCAAACGCAATTGAATCTGTAGGCTCAGCTACTCGGATCTTGTTAAATAAACCACATTCCAACTCATTTAAAATCAAACTAGCCAAATTCAAACTCATTTATTTAGTTGAGACTTGAGAACCGGACACGTTAAGATTTAAGGTTTGGTGGGCTGGAGAATAAGAATATTTATGGGATTTCCTGAACTTTCAGACTTAGTTCATTCGTTTAGCTAATGTTGTAAACCAAGTCGGCTCAGGCTCGAGCCTCAGTCATTAGGCGTGAATGTATTTTTATCCCTGAAAATGCAGTTATGTCACTGACTCACTGTTGGGTCCTCGGTTGGGATTTGGGTGCTGAAAAACTTTGTTGATAGTACACGTATATATATACTGATGAGTCAAAACAATCGACTCACCGAGGTTTGCCAGTCGAACTGCCTCATCTCGATTGGCATGAGAGTTCAAACGCTCAATCGCCTTCGTCTTCAAGAACCGGATCAACCTGCAAAGCGTTGGGGCCAGACACTCCGACGCTCAAGTAAAAAAACAGATATTTTGATCGTGTATCTTAAGTAATCTTAAGAGCAGCTTTAGAAAATGAACCTGGTCCTTTATTTATAAAGGGTTTAATGACTTATTCCCCAAGATAATGAGTTTTCTCAATAACTCAGAATTCTGATGTTCCTCAATAACTGTGTAGATATACACCACCTTTCATCAATATCTTTAACTAATACCGTGTATCACATAAAATAGGCTCCAATCTCCCTTGGACCGGCCTTATCCGAGCTAACCGGTCAGGCCGGTCCACCGAGTTATTTCTGGTGCTACATCATTTACGACCTCCAGGAGGTGAGGTCTCTTTACACGCAAGCTCTCTAATAAGGTCGAGTATCAAGGCAGAGCTAAAACTCCTTTGGATCCTCCGAGCTAATCACTCCAGCCGGTCGACTGAGTGAATACTTGCTAGAACGGAGGTCCACGAGATCCAAATGACCTATTCCAAGCGACATCGTCTTTGCTGGTTCGATTCGAGCACCTCCATTGTGGGTTGTTCTCCCGAGCTCCACGAGCTCGGGTACCGCCACGATGGGACAACTGTCCTCGATCCTGCTACAAGACAAAGGACCCACTGCCGAGCTCCAAGAGCTCAGGCCACTCCACGACAGGCTTTCGCCATAAAGTTGGCTACGAGTCCGAGGACTCGCTGCTGAGCATATAAACACAACGATACTGTCGAGCTTATAAACACAACGACAATCCTGCCCTAATGCGGCGACGAGTTTTACTTCATGCCGGGCTAGGATATGCTCAGTAATCGTTTGAATTGGACACCTGCCGATCCTCTCGAGCTTGAGTGATAATGACTGAACAGGCTTTGGCGCACCGCCGAGCTCCGCGAGCTCGAGCGACTTCTTCAACAGGCTTTCGCCCTATCTCGACCACCGTCGAGCTCCGCGAGCTCGAGCGACTTCTTCAACAGGCTTTCGCCCTATCTCGACCATCACCGAGCTCCGCGAGCTCGAGCGACTTCTTCAACAGGCTTTCGCCCTATCTCGATCATCACCGAGCTCCGCGAGCTCGAGCGGCTTCTTCAACAGGCTTTCGCCCTATCTCGACCATCGCCGAGCTCCGTGAGCTCGAGCGGCTTCTTCAACATGCTTTCGTCCTATCTCGACCACCGCCGAGCTCCGCGAGCTCGAGCGACTTCTTCAACAAGCTTTCGCCCTATCTCGACCATCGCCGAGCTCCGCGAGCTCGAGCGACTTCTTCACAGGCTTTCGCCCTATCTCGACCACCGCCGAGCTCCGCGAGCTCGAACGACTTCTTCAATAGGCTTTCGCCCTATCTCGACCATCGCCGAGCTCCGCGAGCTCGAACGACTTCTTCAATAGGCTTTCGCCCTATCTCGACCACCGCCGAGCTCCACGAGCTCGAGCAACTTCTTCAACAGGTTTTAGCCCTATCTCGACCATCGCCGAGCTCCGCGAGCTCAGGCACCGCCGCAACGATCTCTTCAAACACGCATCTGTGGCTCTAGGACAACCCTGCACTTATCTTAGCATCGCGAAAACATATTTCCGAATATATGAAGGCAACTAATACCTCTTAACAAGAAATGTTCAAAGAAACTTGCCATGATATTTGATATTGATTATTGGAAACAAGTGGAGACTAGCTTATGTACCTGGAGTCGCAAATATCGCTGCTGACCTCTTTAAGAAAACAACCGGGGTATGACTCCCCTTGTACGAGAGCGCTGATTTTCTCCTCGAGCTAATCCTCTCCGAAAATCAAGGTTTAGAATATATTGTCGAGTACTATTTTCAGATGTTAAACTGCAACACATAACTTCGCATAACAAAATCGTGGAAACAAATTATCTTAAAATTACATCATAATCATTATTTTAGTCGTGGTGAATTTTTTTTTTTTCTTCAGAATTGCTCCAACACTTTGACCTCCCTTTCTTGTTTGTACGTCACGACTTGCGTTGCCGCTTACTGTCTGATTTCTACTCTTCTCCGTAACCAATATCCAGCCTACATGCTCATGGATTTTCGTCAACAAGAGTTCCAAAAAGTATCATTAGTTGTATTTTATCCACATCATCCACTTTGCTACCAATAGCAATAAGAAAAAGATAAATAAACCCAATAATTTGCTCATATTAGGCGCTAAGAACACACAATCAAAGTTACGTCCCATACATTATCAGTTATTCCCTCATATTCAACAAGTTATACTTCCAATCTTTTCACACGCAAACGTGTAACTATTAATCAAAGAATCATAACCATTCATATAATCCAAATCACGCACTTTTGTTATGTGGAAAATAGACTGGCACAGCTCCACAACCGCAATTCTATCCTCAAGAAATCATTTTATTCCTTCAAGTTACCATACACGTAGTCCAAAATCATAATTTTTTGTATTAATGCCTTTCAAGATTTAAACACAAATAAGGTACTTAATCACCACTAAATATTATTCACCCAAATGCGAGGTGAAAAGAATATTAACAAAATCAAGTGTGATTTCACAAGTACCCCAATATCAATTGAAAAACATCATATCACCTTGAAAAACATAAAGGGCAACATAATAGTACTCTGAGAACATAAATAATACTAATTCGCAATCCCACAAACATGCTACAAGACCTCACACCATATTATTATCCGAGCCTAATAGTCAACACCCCCACCATGAATAAAAAGTTCACACACAGTGCTCAAATTAGTAATAAACATATAATTTTGTCTGACCCAATTCACTAGATCAATATGCAGTATAAGCTAGTGTTTTAACACTTTGCTTAATCATTCCTCTTCCTCTTGCATAGGAACTCCTAAAGCATAAATAACCAATAACATCTCACAAGCACAAATCAATTTTTTCTTGAATTAAATCCTTCCACAATATAATCTTGGAGCCAAATAGACAGCTCACTATACTACTCTAACCACCAAAACCAAGCAGACAATCCACTGAAGTCCCACACACATTCTTGCAAAACTAAAGTAGTTGTACCCCCACACAACAAGAAGGTTATCCTTAAAAGCTCTTCAAACAGGCTAAGCACCTTATCCACTTAATTATTGCACTCTAATGGTCAACAAATTTATGCCATGATATTCTACCAACACTTTTAGGCACCTTCAAACATAACATACACCTCAGCTTGTCAAAGAGAAATAATACATGTCACTTGAAAAGGTTGCCAATTACCTCACACCCATTAACTACATCACAATAGTGGATAACACACTATTCATTCATGATCGAATTTAGCACGGAGAAATCAACCAAAAAAATGCAAATAATCCAACAAATTAGTACACGAAATCCGCTACATAATTATAAGACAATTCAATTGTTGTGAAACATAAACGATGCTTGATGCTGCAACCCATCCAAATTTTATTCCCAAAAATTTTATTCCGTGATTTGAGATATGCATTTTATCAAACACTTTGTCGGCACGATTAGAGATATGATTCACCAGTGCTTCTCGATTTTAGTTGCACCATTAATAAATATATATCAAATTTTACCCAAAAAAATTGCACTTATCTTCCATGAGAAATTGCACTGGGTTTGGCTCAATGGCTGAGCATGGATTTCGATCTTCAGAGGGCCTCCGCCATGGTTGATTTTCTGGAACATTTTCGGTGCAAGATTCTTGGTAGGATCTTCGTTTGCCATGGTTGATTTTCGACTTTTTGAACAAGTTCCCCACATAGCGCCAATTTAATGAGTCAAAATAATTGACTCACCGAGGTTTGCTGGTCGAACCGCCTCATCTCGATTGGCATGAGAGTTCAAACGCTCAATCGTCTTCGTCTTCAAGAACCGGATCAACCTGCAAAGCGCCGGGGCGAGCCCCGACGTAGACACTCTGACGCAGTCAAAAAACAAATATTTTGATCATGTATTTTAAGTAATCTTAAGAGCTTAGCTTTAGAAAATGAACTTGGTCCTTTCTCAATAATTCAGAATTCTGATGTCCTCAATAACTGTGTCCTCAATAGTTCAAACGCTCGATCGTCTTCGTCTTCAAGAACCGGATCAACCTGCAAAGCGCCGGGGCGGGCCCCGACGTAGACACTCTGACGCAGTAAAAAAACAAATATTTTGATCATGTATTTTAAGTAATCTTAAGAGCTTAGCTTTAGAAAATGAACCTGGTCCTTTCTCAACAATTCAGAATTCTGATATCTTAAATAACTGTGTGTCCATATACACCAACTTTCATTAATATCTTTAACTAATACCGTGTATCAAATAAAATAGGCTCCAATCTCCCTTGGACCGGCCTTATCCGAGCTAACCGGTCAGGCCGGTCCACCGAGTTAATTTCTGGTGCTACTATCATATTCCCAGCAAGAAAAGTTTCAATCAGCACTCGGTGAACGGAGTCCAAAATCTTCATATTTTGCTGCCACGCAGCTGATTCTAAAACTTGCCCTAGTTGTTACAATTAGGGATTCGTATAAAAAAGGGTCGCCGTGAAATAGTGTGAATTCTCAATGGATAGCGGCGGCACGAACGCGAATGGATTGGAGCAGTCATTGCAGGACGGCAAGCTTTATCGCCATGTCAATGGTCTAATCGTTGCCCATCTACGTGACAACAATTTCAATCAGGTAACAGTGTCTGTACCCTCAGCTTTATTTTACAAGATTGTTTTCTTCCCTCTACTTGTATGTGATGGCTAGTTTTAGTTTAATCCACAAAGATTAGAATTTGGTGCGAGTTATGCTGTCCCATTTTGGCGTCTTGAGTTAATTTCTGGAAGTTCGATCAGAAAGTTGGTTTTGTGTGTTCAAATCGAGCAAATGCCGGATGTGCCAAATAATAGCGCTTTCTAAATAGGTCAGAGCCTCGAATTTATCCTGTTGCAAAAATATTATTCGTCCTCCGCTTATATGTTGTGCTTAATCTAATCAAAGAATTTGAATTTGGTGCTGAGTAATGCTGTCTCATTTTCGAGCCTTGAGTTGATTTCCAGAAGTTGAATCACAAAGTTGGTTTTATGTTTTGAAGTTAAGCAAAGGGAAGAAGTACCCTATAATAGCTGCTTTTCGAATAGTTCAGAGCCTCGAATTTATCAAGTTACAAAAATGTTTTTCTTTTCTTTTGTAGGCAGCAAGTGCAGTTGCCTCGGCTACAATGACACCTTTGAATTTTGAAGCACCTCCCAATAAGCTCCTTGAATTGGTTGGCAAGGTTTGTTCTATTTGGTTAATAATTTAGTTTTGATCAATTTTGGGTGCTTTAGCAACAATCCATAATTGGAAAAAGTATCCAATAGAACTGCTCAATAAAGGGTTCTAAGTAGTCAACAGGGTCTTGCAATGGAGAAAGATGAGATGCTGAGAGGAGTATCTTCGACTACATTATTTGATTCAGGCATACCTACAGGATATGGCTCCATACCTGCTCCGCGAGTTGTTTCAGTTGATTTCAGGTGGGTCAAACAGTCAATTTTTCCATACAGTTACTTTAGACAATGATTTTGTTTTCAACAGGAAGAGTTGAACTCTTTTGAGCTTTGCTGGTCGTTAGATCGAAGGTTAAACTAAAAAAATTAGTTTTAAACAAATGCATCCCATTCTAAAACTTGTAATAATTAGTATATTCATTTCGCCTTCTTCTCTTCTTCTAAAACTTGGGTGTTTTGGGTTTTAACTGACTATTATTTTTGAGTGGTCAAATGACTCTCTCTCTCTCTCTGTATTCCCCTTTTTTTTTTCCAATGCAGTACATGATGTTAAAGGAGCATCAAAAAGTTTCCCGAAGCATGAGTCTCGGCATATTTCCGACCACAAGGTGATCATTTTGAAGACAATTATGCTGGAACTTCTGTTTGATTAAGTAGTGGAGAAATATGCTCAAGGAATTATTTTAATGAAAGTTTTGTGATATGTACAGATTGTTGCCAGGTGCGCTAGGTTTAGTCCTGATGGAAGATTTCTTGCAACTGGAAGTGCTGACACATCAATAAAGCTGTTTGAGGTTTGTTCTTAGTTCTTATGCATATTCATCTCATATTACTTATCTAAGTGATTGGTTCTCCTCTACAACACACAGATGTCAAAAGTCAAGCAGATGGTGCTTTCAGATGGAAGAGATGGCCCTGTGCGCCCTGTGATACGGACATTTTATGACCACCTGCAAGTAAATTCCTGTAAAATTAAAGAATTTGTTCTATACTTTTTCTTTATCTCTGTCGAAGAAAAATACGGCTACGTCTATATGTAATTCCATCTTTCTGCTGTGTTTACAAAAGAGTTCACACTTTCAGTTATAGTAGTTTCGGGTATTATGCTTTAAATGTTGACCACAGCATGTTTAATGCTGTTTGCAATGACTTATTTTTGCTACCTGCAGCCGATAAATGATTTGGATTTTCATCCTCAAAATACAATCCTGATTTCTGGGGTCAAAGACCGCACAATAAAGTATGACTAAATTTCTAATTTGATGTTTACGACTCATGGCAACCGATAAAGTTCAATGGCTTTAAGTTTGAGTGCCCGTTGTTGGCTTCCCCTATTGCTCAGCAAATAAAAAGAAAAAAAAAATTAGAAGTTAATTTCTTAAAATTTCTCTCATTTTCTTTTGAAGCTTTTTAGAAAGTCAAAGGATTCACAGGGTGCTTTTTGAATGGCAGGTTCTTTGATTTTTCAAAAACAGTTGCAAGAAAAGCATTCAAAATTATTCAGGTTATTATTTATCCTCATTAAACTCAAAGTTTCATTGAATGTCTGAACAGAGGTAATTATTAAATGATTACCTTTGGTTCAACAGGACACTCATAATGTGAGGTCTGTATCATTTCATCCCTCTGGAGAATTTCTTTTGGCAGGTAATTGCATTTTGATAACATGAACTGGCATTTTCTTTTCCAAGATGCAATCTATCATCACATAACAACTTTCATGTAATCTTCTCTGTTCAACTAGCTAATCCCTTGAACTTTATTTTAATATGCAGATTGATAATTACACTCAATTGATATGAAATCTGCATATTACTAAAAGTTCGAGCATAATTATTTCTTAGTTAATATGCAGATTTCCTTTCAATTTTTAGTAAACAAAGAGATAATTAACTACAACAATTTCTTTATCAATTTAGAATTCACTATCCTAGAAACACCAAAGCTAGTGACCAACTCACATGGATTAGATGCTGCTAAATTTGTACGTAATATTCTTGATAAAAGAATTTGTCCTGAAATATCTCTGCTTGATTACAGGAACCGACCATCCAATTGCGCACTTGTATGACGTTAATACTTTCCAATGCTATCTATCAGCAAATATTCAAGAAATTAACAATGGAGCCATAAATCAGGTACAACTTGACCTTGTTCTGCTTTGATAAAGAACCGAGTTATCTTCCATTATTTTTCATGTGTCTATGAAGCAGCAGCATTAAGTTCTGTCATGCAGGTCAGGTATTCATCGACTGGTGGCATGTATGTAACAGCTTCAAAAGATGGTGCTATACGATTGTGGGACGGGGTAACTTCTCAGTGTGTCTGCTCGATTCTTGGTGCTCATGGAACAGCGGAAGCTACTAGTGCAAATTTCATGAAAGATCAAAGGTAGATACGTCTTTATCATGCCATAGAAATCAATATGTCTATGGTTGGGAAGTTTTAATGCCATCCAACAAACAATCACTATTTTTATGGGAAAAAAAAATCAAATACAAAAATAGATTACATCAGCCAAAAAGATGAAACGGAAGTTTGTTTTGCCCTCATATGGCTGATCTCATGGTTTTGGCAATCTTGCTAACCAAACAATTGATAAGTCTTTAATTAACTAAAAAATTGTTTTTGGCCTAATGGAGTTACATGTTTAGGATTTTGGAAAACATTCACTTGCTTTAAAAAATCCCAACCATCGATATTGTAATTTTGTCACAATCGGCAAGTCTTAAAGCTTCTTATTTGGTCCAATTTAACGGTATCCAACTTTACCCAAAGCCGTAAAATTATTTAAGTTCTACTGGGTTCCCATGAGATGTAACATGTAACTGCATTCTGAATAATTTCAATTGTAATCATGAACGGTTAAATTTGCAATACATATTTTGTTCTCTTATCATGTTTATTTTTTTTTATTCTTATTATTTTTAATTGTTTCTTGCTAACCAGATTCACTGCGGGAGATATTTGAAGTTATTATTGTTTGAACTTTGAATTTTCCTGCTGTTCTATTTTGGCAATTCCTCGACTTTTTTTTCCCCCTGTCAGGTACATTCTTTCCTTATTGTAAATCTCTGGAATGTTGGGACAGGAAGATTAGTCAAGCAATATCTTGGCGCCACACACACACAGTTGCGGTGCCAGGTATTTGAAACATTTCTTGATTCTCTATATTTGTGCACATACACTTCAAATAAAAAACTTTTGGTTCATACAAAGTGGTGTCCAAAATTGCTCATAGGATACTTACGGATCAAATATTCCCCTGTTCACCCTTTTGAGACCAAAATTGCATCACAATGCTTACATAACCAAGTATTGCTATCCTTAATCTTTGTAAAGACCAAGATGAAATTAATCCAATATTTTGCATCCTGCTGGAGCTTGATTATCAGTCTATTGAAAATTTTCACGGGTGCTTATGTGCTTTATCAGACTAAAGTTTTGGTATTGCCCATATTTGTTGAAGCAAATTATGTTTTATTTTACCGATTACGGGACGATTCCTCGAGGAAGGCAGTTCGGAATCTAGAATCGCTGTCGATCAAAAGCGAAAAGAAAATAAATCCTAAACATTCTAATCACAATTGAGGTTTGAGTGAATTATCTAAAGGCTACCAAAAATCACACAACTAAGTAATAACAATAATATAAGACAAATAGAGAAGTAGAAGAAGTGTTAGGGGTTGGGGATAATCGCTTTTAGTTCCAAACCCAAATACCTGCAATTATTCGGTTAAGGAGTTTCGATTAATCTACATGTCTACAAGTTTATCCTTAGAGAACAAATATAGATGACAAATTGGCGAAGCAAATAACACGCATGCAATATAATTACGAACAAGCCTACCACATACGAGCTTAGGTCAATAAACTCCTCCTCTTTCGGTTCTACAAGTTGTTTAACTAGATTAGACGAGATCAATCAATTTACCCTAAGACCCGGACAAGATGAGCAACCAAAAAGACGATAATCACGAGAACAAGAACAATCGTCTCCTATGCCTAGCGAATGAAATTTAGCTCCTCATCTCGGAAATAACACAAACAATCAATTCAACCGTAGAAATTAAATCAATTGACAAAATGAAAAGGAAAACTTGCGATTAAATTGAAGCCGGATGTCAATCGGCGATTACAAACCAAATTCATAAGTCGATTCTTAGAGTGTCACACTCTAAAAATCCAAGGGAAAAAGTAGAGAAAAACCTCTAAGACCGAAGTCTGGGGTGGATGGAATTGTGTTTTGGGGCTGGAAAATACGTAAAAGAGTAAAATCAACTTAATGGATCGGAAAACCTATAAAACGAGCTCAAATTAACTCGAAAGCAGACCATAAAAACACACGGAAATGCTAATAAAAACATACACAACAGTATTTTAAATTTCCTCATTCAAATAGTACCAATGTGAAAATATATCCACTCTGGGTTTGTGCAAATAAAATCCTGAAAGACAAATGATTAGTATTTGGAATGTCACATGGTTCGATTAATTTTCAGTTGGCTTTCAATTGCAGGCAGTGTTTAATGAAACCGGGGAGTTTGTACTCTCTTTCGACGAATCAAGCAATGAGGTAGACAACTTTTTCACTTCAAAATCAAAAAAAAAAAAAAGAAAAAAATGATGTTGCACGAACTTAATCAGATCTTTCTTGGGTTCGTGACTGATGTATTATGTTCTTGTTAATGAAGATTGTCGTATGGGATGCACTAACGGCAGAGCAAGTGGCTAGATGGCCTTCGAACCATATGGGCGGCCCTCGTTGGATTGAACAGTCACCAGCAGAAGCAGCATTCGTCACTTGTGGGGCCGACCGATCGGTAAGTGAAAGAGTATTTGCAGCACACCATAGAGAGAGAAGAAAAGAATCTAGGGTTTTTGTATTAGAGAAAATGAACCGATAAAATGTACAAGTGTGGTGAGACCCTTATTTATAGTTGGGGTCAACTATGTAAATATTACATAACTTGAGGACATAAATGTAAAGATATAAAAACATATAAAAATCTATACATATTCTATTACCCCCCCTCAAGATGAACATGAATGTTTTTCAAGTTCATCTTGGAAGCTAAAGCAGAAAATAGAGGATTGCCAAGAGGCTTGGTTAGAATGTCTGCTATTTGCTCCTTGGATGGTGTATGCTGAAGTGAAATGGTCCCTTTAGTGAGCTTTTCTCTAATGAAGTGGCAATCCAACTCAATGTGTTTGGTCCTCTCATGAAAAACAGGGTTAGTAGCAATTGAAATGGCAGCTTTACTATCTGAGAAAATGCAAACAGGAGATGAGTGAGAAACATGTAAATCATTTAGTAAATACAGTAACCATTGAGCCTCACAAGCTGTATAGGATAATGCTCTATATTCAGCTCCAGTTGAGGACTTGCTGACTGTTGGCTGTTTTTTGGATTTCCAAGAAATTAGAGAATTGCCCAAAAAGAATGCAAAACCAGAAACACTTCTCCTACTATCTATACAGCCTGCCCAGTCAGAGTCACTATAGCCAATGAGAGAAAGAGAAGAAGATCTAGGATAAAATATACCTTGGCCCACAGTTTGTTTTAAATACCTTAATACCCTGTGGGCTGCTGAGAGGTGCTGTTGAGTTGGTTTCACCAAGAATTGACTGAGACTTTGCACACTAAAAGAAATATCAGGCCTTGTAATAGTTAAGTAAAGAAGTCTACCAATGAGTCTTCCATACTCAGTAGCATCAACAGGTTTTGCATCATCATCATTACATGTCAGTTTTATATTGGAATCCATAGGTGTTGCTGCAGGTTTGCTACCCAAGTAGCCAGTATCATGTAATATATCTAATGCATACTTTCTTTGACAAATGTTAATGCCTGTGGATGATTGTGCAATCTCAAGGCCTAGAATATATTTCAGAGTGCCCAGGCCTTTTATAGTAAAACATTGATCCAAATGAGTTTTGATAGCATGTATATCATTGAGATTATTGCCAGCTAGGATTACATCATCCACATACACTAACAATGCAAGGAAAGAAGTATCATATTTCTTAATGAAAAGAGAGCAATCAGAGACAGATTGGGTGAAGCCATAATCAAGAAGACAATGTGTTAGTTTTTGAAACCATTGCCTTGAAGCTTGTTTTAAGCCATAAAGGCTTTTGGTTAGTTTGCAAACTCTATTATCAGATTTAGGGAGATAGCCAGGGGGTGCCACCATATAAACTTCTTCATCAAGATCCCCATGTAAGAAGACATTATTGACATCTAATTGATGTAAATGCCAATTATGTATGGATGCTAATGCAATGAGTAATCTAACAGTTGTGATCTTGGCAACAGGGCTAAAAGTATCAAAGTAATCAATTCCATCTTCTTGTGTATAACCCTTAGCCACTAATCTAGCCTTATACCTCTCTATTGAGCCATCTGCTTTATATTTAATTTTAAAAACCCATTTACACCCTATAGCATTTTTGCCTTTGGGTAATTCTGTTAAAAACTAAGTATTTGTGTTTTCTAAAGCAGTGATCTCTTTATTCATAGCATCCTGCCATAGAGGATCAGAAGAGGCTTGTTTATAAGTTTTAGGTTCCACATTGGCAGTGATGGATGAGGTAAAACAGGCATGACTGTGGCATAGGTTATTAGTAGTTAGGAATGATTCAATAGGATATAATGATGATGTTCCAGAAATGTGTTGAGACTGATCACATGTGACTGAGTTTGAGTTTGTTTTGAGTTGATGTTGGTATGCTTTGAGGTATGCTGGAGGTAGTCTGTTTCTGGTTGATCTTCTTGGAGGTGTTGATGTATTGATTGGAGATGGTGGTGATATATTGATCTGTGGTGATGATGGTGGTATATTGACTGGAGAGGGTGGGGAGATGTTGTCATTTTGGGTTGGTTGCTCAGAATTTGCTGGATTTTGAGTATTGGGTTGGCTAATGTAGGGATCATGAGTAAAAGGGGTTGGTTCAGAGAACAAAGGTATATGAGCTGTGTCATTGATTTGGGTTTTGAAAGGGAAAGCAGTCTCATAAAAGATCACATTTCTAGAGATTAATGTCTTCTTGGTATCCAAGTTATAAAGCTTATATCCTTTATAACCTAAAGGATACCCAAGAAATATGCACTTTGAAGCCCTTTGATCAAATTTAGTTCTATGTGATTGCAATGTAGATGCATAACATAAACAACCAACAGTTCTGAGATGATCAATAGATGCAAGAATGCCATATAATGCTTCATATGGTGATTTATTATTCAGAACATGAGTTGGGATTCTATTGATGATATGCACTGCAGCTAAAATGCAATCCATCCAAAAATAAACAGGTAGATGTGCATGAAATAGAAAGGCCCTGGCAACTTGAAGTATATGTTGATGTTTCCTTTCTACCCTTGCATTTTGTTGGGGAGTTTCCACACAACTAGTTTGATGTAAAATACCAGTTTCTTTAAAAAAATCATGCATGAGGAACTTTGTTCCATTGTCAGACCTTAGAGTTTTGATAGTCTTGTTGAACTGAGTGTGAACGAGATTATAAAAATGTTTGATGCTGGAAATAGTATCTGACTTGTTTACTAGTGGGTAAACCCAAGTAACTCTAGTATTATCATCTACAATTGTTAAAAAATATCTATGTCCAGCATATGAAGGAATAGAAAATGGTCCCCAAAGATCACAATGGATAAGTTCAAAGGGAGATGATGTAATAGACTGACTTATATTGAAGGGTAATCGTTTTTGTCTGGAAAAATGGCAAACATCACAAGGAACAGTGTTCTGTTTACAATGTTTGATAGGTAAATTCAGAAGATACAGTTTATTGAAAGAAAGATGACCAAGTCTAGAGTGCCAAACAGTAGAAGATACATCAGAGTTGCAGCTATTTACATCAGTCATGCTGTGTGAAACAGAAGGTAGTACATTTTGGGATGTATGAACAGGAAATGAAACAGGATTGTTGGGGTCAAAGTGGTATAATCCAGCTTTGGCCTTAGCAGAACCAATCAGAGTGAGAGATGTCATGTCCTGCATGATGCAGTGTGATGCCAAAAATTTCACTGTACAATTATTTGTATGACACAATTTGGAGACTGAAATCAAATTGTATTTAAAGAAAGGGACATATAAAGCATGCTTTAAGATAAGACATGAAGACAAAGCAATGTCACCCATATGAGAAGCTGTAGTGGTATTTCCATTAGGCAAGTTAACAGTAATAGACACATTTTGCACATTAGATGTAAAAAGAGAATGATCACATATCATATGGTCTGTAGCACCAGTATCCAAAATCCAGAAATAATTAGGTCTATTAGTGTTAACTGAACATGAGAGATAATTAGGGTTACCTTCCACAACATTGGGTTGAGTGGTGCAAACATTTGCAGTGACAACTTTAGATGTCTCCAAAGAATTGTTGGAAGAATTAGACTGCTCATATGATCTTTTAAATGCTAAGAAGTCAGAAAAGAGTTGATCAGTCATGTTAACATCAGTAGAAATAGGAGCATCACTGTTTGATGTAGTAACATTGTGAGCAGAATGTCTTGTGTTGATTCTAGGACCACGAGGTCCTTCCCAATTCTGAGGATAGCCAATAATTTGGTAGCATCTGTCAGTTGTGTGGCCCATGTAACCACAATGTCCACATTTTGGTCGAGGTTTGGAGGGATCTCTTGGTGGATTTTTATTGTCAGTTTGCTTAGGTTTGTAGAATTTCGGAGGGTAAGAAGTTTTGGCTGCCATGGCTAGTGTATCAGAAGGTTTAGGAGTAATGTGAAGGGCTCGTTGGCTTTCTTCTTGTAGTAAGAGAGAGTATACTTTGTTTAACGAGGGTAATGGAGTTGAAAGTAGGAAATGAGATCTGAGAGCTGAGTATGATTCATTCAGGCCAATGAGAAACTTGATGACAGAGTCAGATTGTTGAGATAGGGACATTGAGTCAAAAATATTACAAGTACAGGAACTCATAGCACCACAAGTACAACGGATAATAGGTCTGTAGGTAAGATACTCATCCCATAAGGCTTTAAACGAGTTATAGTACTGAGTGATAGTCATTGAGCCTTGATCCATCGTGCTTAGAGATTTTTCGATTTGAAATACACGAGGACCACTGCTCAATGCATATCGAGCCTTCAATTCATCCCAAACATCTTTGGCGTTGGAAAAAAATAAGAGAGACTGTCTGATATCTTTGGAAATTGAGTTTAATAACCATGACAGTACGAGATTATTGGCACGAGTCCATGCCAAAAAATCCACAGCGTTAGTATGAGAGGGGATAGGAACAGTACCATCGAGGAGACCGATTTTGTTCTTGACACTTAACGCCATAAAGACCGCACGAGACCAGGAAATGTAGTTAGTTCCGTCAAATACTTCAGCAACAATGACTGCGCCCGAATTGTCGCTGGGATGAAGAAAATAGGGCGACAAAGGATCGTCGGTAGGTATCGCCATAGATCGTCAATCGAGATGTGAAACAGAGTAGATCTAGCCGGTGGATATTCAGATCGAAATCGAAATCGTACAATAATCGAGAGAAAATGTACAAATCTAGGTGAAAATCCAAATACCGAACAAAAAAAAAATGAAAAGTAATCGAGAGAATCGTCTCGGAGATGAAGACGACGATGTAGATCAGCGGAAATCGAAGAGTTTACACCAGGACCGGGATTTTTCCGGCGACTGATACCATGAAAGAGTATTTGCAGCACACCATAGAGAGAGAAGAAAAGAATCTAGGGTTTTTGTATTAGAGAAAATGAACAGATAAAATGTACAAGTGTGGTGAGACCCTTATTTATAGTTGGGGTCAACTATGTAAATATTACATAACTTGAGGACATAAATGTAAAGATATAAAAACATATAAAAATCTATACATATTCTATTAGTAAGGTTTTGGAAAGAGACTTGACCAAGAAAGCTTACACTAGAAATCTGCATATGTTGTCGTAACTGACTAATGCTGTAAGGCCGTGCGTGTTTGAAATGAGCATAAACCAAACCCTTTTTTTTTTCTTTAATTGTCGTAGCTGACTAATTTTGCCCCTCTCTTTTTGTTCTCGACCTTACAATGTGTTTGGCCCATTTTCAGATGTGCAAGTTGTAACATTTTCTGTTGTAGGCATTCCATGTGCTTGTAACGAATTATTCTTAAAGAATAGATTGAATTAATCCCTGGATAAAAAATGACAAGATAAAAAGTTTAAATACTTTTTAGAAATTGCATTATTATTTATACTTACACTTGTACGATTTGCCCGTCATATAGTATAATATGTTTTCTA